ACAGGATGTTTTGTGTGGACACTAGAGTGAATGGATGAAGAAGCTGTTCTTAGGCCCCAAGAGTGGGTTGGCTGGGAAGTCACAGGCTGCTGAGTCTACTGAAGCCGGCAGAACTACCTGTGTGTCTAGCACAGCAGCAGTTTTAATTGATTAGACCTTTTTTCTTTTTGAGGCAGGGTCTCATTCCAGTTGCTCAAGTGGAGTGCAAGTGGCACAATCTTGGCTCACTGCCACTCTGACCTGGGCTCAGTGATCCTAACGCCTCAGCCTCCCGAGTAGCTGCAGCCACATGCCACCATGCTTGGCATATTTTTTGTACTTTTAGTAGAGAGAGGGTTTCGCCATGTTGGCCAGGGTTGTCTTGAACTCTGGACTCAAGCAGTCTGCCTGCCTGCCCTCCCAAAGTGCTGGGTTCATAGGCGTGAGCCACTGCACCTGGCCAGATCAGGTATTTTGAAATGTGGACTTTCCACTAGTACCTAGTTGCAGCACCGGGAGACAAGAATGATAGTGATAACACTGGCTTGTACCAGCCTGGTTACTTTGGATACAGAAGCCACAAGCGATTTTGTTTTTATGAGATGTCTTGGGTGGTAATGAGTCTGTGGCTCTCAAATTCTGTTATCTGGATTGTATCCCGTTTCGCAAACGGGGGAATGTTTAGCAGCTAAGCAAGATGTTTTCCTCATCCTAGAATTCTGGGCCCAACTGCATCGGCACTGCCCGCCACGCCAGGCCCACAGGAACAGGCGTGACACGAAGGTGGGCCTTCAAAAGTGAATGGGTTGCACTCCTCCGCGTGGCCTTTTCTCCTGTGTCCTGCTTTAATAAGCCCCACTTATGTTAGAAATTCCTATTTTTCATCCAAAAAACTTTGGAAATCTTGAGTGAAATGAGGTGTACCTATATCTGTCTACATAGATTCTGAAAAAGTGCATGCAGTATGTGGTGCCTGCCAGTTAAAGATAGAACTAGCTACAGAATGATTCTCAGCGGCCTCACTTCAGCAAAATGTGACTCCTCTGACCTCCAGGAACTCTGCCTTTGCTAACATGTCTCACCTGGTTTCTATGTGTCAGACCCCTTCCTGGCCTGTTTCTTCCAGATCCTTCCTCTCTGTTGCTCCAACCGTTGTGTCCTCTCAGCCTTCCCCGCTCCATAGTGAACCTTCCCCGGCACCACGTCGCCTTAGTATTCTAACCTGCAATTACCCAGCACAGGGAGAAGGTCCAAATCAGGACAAACCCAGAACCGAAAGGGGTAGACAGTATTGTCTCTAATGAGTCCAGTGTACCCACCACTCAACAGCTCTGTCAGCCTCAAGCCCTCTCGGGTGCTTCTCCCCAGAGTAATACAAGCTTCAAGCATGTCATTTTACCCATAAATTACCATGCATCCCAAACCGGCAAGGATACCAGGCCGTGATTGACCTGCTGGAATTAACAGTGACAGTATCACCCGCCCTCCAGTCCATATGCAAATGTTCCTGATTGTTGCAGCAATGTTTCTTATGATTGGTTTGAATCAGGATCCATCTTAATGTTCCATCAGCTAACGTGGATGGCACAGGCAGCCCCACCACAGTGAGGGCACAGCGAGGGGAACAGGGCAGCCATCTGGGCAGCTGGCTGCAGAAGGGTCTACAGGCTGTTCCCCCATCACCTGAGTATTCTAGAACAGTAACTTTTGCTGACCATTTTTTGAATGCCCCACACTGGATGTGGTTGACTTCTCTTTATTCATCCTGCACATGACTGTGGCCCAGCTCCCTCTGTGGAGTGCTCTGACCCCAAGTCCAGGCAGATGAGGGCAGGTGAATTCTGGGTTCGGGCTTCGTTTTGTCAGAGAACTACAGTGAGGAGAGGATAGGTAGGCATGCTGTGAGCCAGGCGGTAAGAGAATAAACCGTTAACAGTCTGCCTTCTAGTTATGAAGCTGTAAGTCCCATTGCCCCCAGGAGTACACCCAGATGGTCCTAAGAGACTAAGGAGATCTCAGGGCCATCATATGCTTTATACCCGATAGAGTGCTTGGCACGTGGTAGGTTTATAGTAGAATTAGTGAAAAACAAACCAAAACAGCCCCAAGATTGTCCTAAACTATAGCTGAAAGGAAAAGAGTGTAGTTTAAAAATATAGCAGTAGGCCAGGCGCGGTGGCTCACGCCTATAATCCCAACACTTTGGGAGGATGAGGTGGGCAGATCACTTGAGGCCAGTAGTTCGAGACCTGCCTGGGCAACATGACAAAACCCTGTCTCTACTAAAAATACAAAAATTAGCTGGGTGTAGTGGCGGGCATCTGTAATCCCAGCTACTCAGGAGGCTGAGAGGGGAGGATCACCTGAGCCCCAAAAGTCAAGGCTGCAGTGAGCCATGATGGTGTCACTATACTCCAGCCTGGGCGACAGAGCGAGACCATGTCTCAAAAGAAAAAAGAAGTTGAGATTCACAGAACAAACCATTTTAAAGTAAACGATTCAGCGGCATTTCATATATTCACAGTGTTGTGCAACCACCACCTCTAATTCCATCAAGAAAGAGGATCAGTGCTTTTCAGACTGTTTTGATCAGTAGCAGTGGATCTATATGAAGAAAACTTGTGACCCCTCTCCCCAGAAAAAGGCATGTCTACATAGTTATGCATGCAACTTAGGCTCACAGATTCTGAAGCCATCCAGGAATCCCAGGGTAAACCCTCTGGTTTATGATTGGCTCTCAGCTCTTCTGCAGAAGCAGCCCGATTGTCATCAGAACCCCCTTTAGTGGTGGGTCCCAGGTGGCACGACCAGAAGGTGAAGAAGCACACAAGACAGATGTCAGCCTCACTCACCGCTGGAGAGGGCAAGAGAAAAATGGGGACAGGAGCCTTCTGTCCCCATCCTGCACAAGACTTGACCTTAAGATCATCTGCACATTCCATGAATCTTTCCACCCTGCAAGGCAAGGCGGGCTGTGGGGTCCCCTTAGATGGATAAAGGAAATAGGCCATGCTACTTCTCAAGGTCACAATGGATTCACCAGTCGGCCAAGAACCCAGGACTCCATCTGGGGCTGTTTGTACAGCATGTTTCTATTACATGGGAGCCTGGAACACCAGGTACTGGTGGGGTCCAGCACGTCTGCCGGGGGGGCTGCCGACCTGCGGGAGTCCCCGAGACCGCCAACGTAGATGTCTCGTTCATCCTGAGGGGGAGAGTGCGCGGAAGTGAAAGAAGAAAGAAAAGCGGAGTCTGGAGGTCTGCGTGACTTGTAGTCAAGCAGCAGCTTTATTTTTTTTATGGGTTACAGCTTTTATACCTTTTTTCTTGTTACATTTACTTTAGCTCAGCATTTACTTTAGCTCAGCAGAAAAAGGGGGGTAAACATAAAAGGGAACAGAAACCACGTAAAAATAGTTATCAGGGGCTTGTGATAACAGCTCACAAAGCAGTTTAGAGGGGCTTGTGGTAATAGCTTACAAAGCAGTTTAAAGGTTAGCATATGTTTTTTAAGAGTACACAGTGCAATCAAACAATGGTGTCCTCATGGTGGCTTGTTAATTATGTTTTCCATTAGGAGGTAGAGCAAAGGCTCAGCTCCTGAGAAAATATGGGCAGGGGTCCTTGCCCCTGTCAGGCATCTCAATTGCAGCAAGTCTGTTGCTTACACAGAGATTAAAGGGGGATATGAAACCAGTCAGCACAATGCCCTCATTAACTACAGGCCTTTGCTCTGTATCTTGTTTTTGCCTCAGTGGCTCAGCCCACGACCCTTGCCTCAACTCGACAGCCCTCGAGGGGGGCGGGGGGGCAGATAGGTCCAGCAGCCAAATAGGGCGAGTCACACTAGCTGTCTCAAGCCTTTGGTGCGAACACTGCAAGGTACCATTTTCAGCATGGTGCCTCCAGACACATTGGAAATCTGTCTAGAGGTGGGACCCCCAGGGTGGTGAGAGGGTTCCAGTGCCTGCAAGGCTAATCATGGAAGGATTTACATGTGGAAGAGATTAACTTTGAGCAACGGAGAGAAGCAGAAGGGAAGCCAATTCCATCCTAACATAATCTTTCACTCTTTCTACTAATAATTTAGCATTAGTAAATAATACTAGTAAATACTAATAATAGTAAATACTAACAATTAGTAAATAGTTTTTTCACTCTTTGTCACTATTTGAATAAAAGATGGGGCCAGGCTCAGTGGTTCACGCCGGTAATCCCAGCACTTTGGGAGGCCAAGACGGGCAGATCACGAGGTAGGAGTTTGAGACCAGCCTGGCCAATATGGTGAAACCCTGTCTCCATTAAAAATTATATTTAAAAAAAATTAGCTAGATGTGGTGGCACACGCCTGTTGTCCCAGTTACTTGGGAGGCTGAGGCAGAAGAATTGCTTGAACCCCGGATGCAGAGATTGCAGTGAGCCGAGATTGCACCACTACACTCCAGCCTGGGCGACAGAGCAAGACTCCACCTCAAAAAAAAAAAAGAAAAATGTATATCCAGCAAGGTAGTGATTTCCCCATCTTTGGAAGCATTCAATAACTTATTGGGGATGTTAACAGAGGAGATCAAAGTAAGGGATGGAATGGGAACGAAGTGATTTTTTAAAGGCCTCTCATGACCTTGAGAGCCCACAGGATTGCATTTCTGATTCCAGATATTAGCCCAACCCAAAACAGCCCTGTGTTCTTTAAACTGATTGACTAAGTTTAGGAGATACAGGTTGGAATTAAGGTGACTTTTAAAAGCTCCAATTCCCTAGCACTCTATAAATACCTCAAACTGCTCAGGTGTTCTCTGCTTGAGTAAAATTAAGGCAATGAGGACACAAGGTTTTCGCTTTGGCGCTGATGTTTAGCAGAGTGTACCCATTTTCCTCGTGCATGTGCCCCGGTAAACCCTTAAGACGACCATAAGACAACCCCACCCCAAAGCCCATAAGCCTCTTAGCTAGACATTTCCACCCGCCCCACCTCCCCTGCCCTGCAAGCAGGCTGCTGTGTTTAGTGTTTGCAGATGAAACACAGGTTCGTAGCTTTGTCTCACTGGAGGCCAACTCCAGAGAAACGAGCACGCTCTAGCCACTGGTGTCCAGACTTTGAGAATTCGTAGACCAGTAATTCTCAAAAATAAATCTAGGGGAAGATTGCCAACTTTTAATTTTTGCCAAGTAAGGACCTTCTTCTAAACTGCCATACACTCTTGATTGTCATTTCATAAAAAGAAAGGACATTTATGTCCTTATGCTTAGGAGCTGCATTCTGAAATACGGGCAAAGTGTCATGATGTCTGCATGGACGGTCAAATGGTGAAAAACGAAGAAAACCGCAGCGATAGACAGGGAGGAGTGCAGGTAGCAAAATGTTCATTGTCAAATCTTGAAGTTGACTGTTTGGGTGTTTATTATATAGTTATTCTAACTTTTCTGTGCTTTAAAATTTCATAATGAAACCGTAGAAAATGCAGAACTGATGACAGAGGCAGATCTGTGATTGCCTGGGGCGGGAGGGTGGATGGAGGAGTTGGTGGAAATGGGTACAGGGAACTTTAGGGAGTGGTGGAATGTTCTGTGTCTCGATCACAGCGATGGTTACACAATGTATATGATGACCAAAACTCATCAAGCTGTACACTCAAAATGGATGAATTTTGTTGGTTATAAAATATATGTATTTTACCTCCCTATATATCTGCCTGCACTCATCTATGTCTATATTTCAAAATTCACCCATTTCATACATTTCATATATTTATCTCAATAAAGATAGAGACACAAAAAGGACTTTTTGGGTTTTTTTTTTTCTTGAGACAGAGTTTCACTCTGTCATCCAGGCTGGAGTGCCGTCTCAGCTCACTGCAACCTTCGCTTCCCTGGTTCAAGTGATTCTTTGCCTCAGCCTCCCAAGTAGCTGAGATTATAGGTGCCCACCACCATACCTGTCTAATTTTTGTATTTTTCATAGAGAAGGGGTTTCACCATGTTGGCCAGGCTGGTCTTGAACTCCTGACCTCAAGTGATCTGCCCACCTCGGCCCCCCGAAGTGCTGGAATTACAGGCATGAGCCACCGTGCATGACTGAAGAAAGATATTTTCATACCAAAAAATTAAGAAGCTCATAATTTCAAAAGGACAGTCCTTTATATTAAATAAATTTTGCTCCCAGAAAAAAAACTCACAAGACTGTTCTTATTTTTCTCATTTCTCCACCAAGAAGAGAAAAAATCATCACAGACCAAGAGCTGGGAATGACATTTCCAAAAAGAGTGAGATCTGTCATCCAGTCCAGCCAAATTTTCCCACCTGCAAGACACTGGCAGGGTGGTGAGTAAGATCTGCCCATCTGTGCCCTTCCAGCTGGGCACAATGCAGCAGGAGAATGGGGGGGACCTGGAAGCACTCCAAACTGGGCCTGGGTCCTGCAGCCTCAGCTCAGGGCAACCCTCTGATGGGGACACTGAAAGAAGCACCCTAGTCATTTTTTCCCTCTTTTTTTTTTTCCGAAATGGAGTCTGGTTCCGTTGCCCAGGCTGGACTGCAGTGGCACAATCTCGGCTCACTTCAACCTCTACCTCCCTCCCGAGTTCAAGCAATTCTTCTGCCTCAGCCTTCCAAGTAGATGGGATCGCATGGGCCACCATGCCCAGCTAATTTTTTTTGTAATTTTAGTAGAAACGGGGTTTCACCATGTTGGCCAGGCTGGCCTCGAACTCCTGACCTCAGGTGATCCACCCTTCTCAGCCCCGCAAAGTGCTGAGGTTACAGGTGTGAGCCACCATGCCTGGCTTCTCTTTGCATTTTTAAGGGAATAGTTAAATATTCTTTTAAACTTACAACAATTTTTTTTTTTATACAAAATTTTGCTCTTGTTGTCCAGGCTGGAGTGCAGTGGCGTCATCTGACACACTGCAACCTCCACTTCCCGGGTTCCAGTGATTCTCCTGCCTCAGCCTCCAGAGTAGCTGGGATTACAGATGCATGCCACCACGCCCAACAAATTTTTGTATTTTTAGTAGAGATGGGGTTTTGCCATGTTGGCCAGGCTGATCTTGACCTCCTGAGTTCAGGTGATCCGCCTGCTTCAACCTCCCAAAGTACTGGGATTACAGGCGTGAGCCACCACACCCAGCCACAATTGTTTTTTGAGACAGGGTCTCACTCTGTTGCCCAGGCTGGAATACCATGATGTGATCACTGGTACAGCTTCAACATCCCAGGTGCAAACAATCCCCCACATAAACCTCCTAAGTAGCTGGGACCACAGGCACACCCCACCATGCCTGGCTATTTTTGTTTACTTTTTATAGAGATGGGGTCTCACTATGTTGCCCAGGCTGGTCTCAAACTCCTGGGCTCAAGCGATCCTCCTGCCTTGGCCCCTCAAAGTGCTCAGATTACAGGAGTGTGCCACTGTGTCTGGCCTAATTTATTAGTATTGTAATTTTTTGAGAAAAGGTCTTGCTCTGTTGCCCAGGCTGGAATACAGTGGTGTGATCACGTTTCACTGCAGCCTCAACCTCCCAGGCTCAAGTCATCCTCCCACCTCAGCCTTCCAGAGTGCTGGGATTACAGGCATGCACCTCTACATCTCACTTATATAATACGGTTTTGTATTTTAACCTTTCTATTATAGGAGCAGCAAATGATTGTAGGAGAAAATGTGAAAAATTACAGACAAGAAAATTTAAGCAAAACCTACCATTTCCACCACGCAGAGACCACCAATGTTAGCTTAAGGTGTATTCTTGCATAGGTATAGCATGCATGCGAACACACATGTATATGTGTAAATGTGCTTGTGTGTATATGCATGTGTGTATGAATGTACATATATGTATGTATACACAAATGCATAGTCTCTGTGTGTTTGCAAAGCGCCATCCTGCAGCCTTGCTGGGTTCAGTCCCAATCTCTTACCTTTCCACTCCAGTCATTTTACCATAGTCAGATATTCCCAATGAACCCAAAATGTCCCACACATCCTTTTTGGCTAGTTGTGTATTCAATCTCGGGCTGCACATGACATCTGGGTGTCAAGTGCCATAGTGTCTTTTAATCTAGTAAACCCCATTTCTATGGCATTGTTTGCTGGATTTCTCCAGCAGCTCTCTTGTGTCATGTAGCTGGTTCCTTGTATTTCTGATAAACTAGAAGTGATGTGTAAAGGCTCGTGGATTCAGGTTAACCCAAGGGGACATATCACGTGTGGCTGAGACCACCGGCAATGCTAAGATTGACCATGGTATCTGCCATGCACCTTGGGAGGACACCGCTATCCACGTGGCATCGCTTCAGTCCTGCAGTCATTTTCCCATCAACTCTTCACCTAATGGCTTTGGCACCAATGAATAGTCATTGTGTTTTAAAATAGGGGTTTTGCAGTTTAGGTATGGTGAGGCCAACAATCGAGTATGCTAAGGATGGGGTGACATTGAGGTAAAGACTCAAAGGAGTGAGCCATGTGGCTGCTGTGGGAAGAGTGTTCCTGGAGAGGAAGCAGCAGGTGGAAAGGCCTAAAGGCAGGTTTGCAGAAAAGCAGGCGAGGGGTGGTGGCTCATGTCTGTAACCCCAACGTTTTAGAAGGTTCAGGTGAGAGGATCAATTGAGGTCAGGAGTTTGAGACCAGCCCCCGTCTCTACAAAAGATTTAAAGAATTAGCCAGGTGTGGTGGCATGTGCCTGTAGTCCTAGCTACTCGAGAGGCTTAGGTGGGAGGAGCGCTGGAGCCCAGGAGTTCAAGGCTGCAGTGAGCTACGATTGCACCACTGCACTTCAGCTGGGGTGACAGAGTGAGACCCTGTCTCCGAAAGAAAAGGAAACAGACTCAGTACTCTGAAGCCAAGTGGGAGAGGGAGAGAGCGGTGAGAAACAAAGCCGGAGGTAACGGGAGGGGGCGCTGGAGCACGCCGGACTTGGCAAGCATTGTCCAGACTTAGCTGGGAAGCCACTGGAGCGTTTGGATGGGTGCCGATGCCCCAAACCTCAGAACGGGCCTTCCGCATATCCTTGTTTCATTCCTAGCTCAAGTCCCCCATGTAAGTGTGTTCTTGGTCACAGAGTGCCCTCCATGCATTCCCTGAGCGTTCTTGGGAGCAGGCATTGTTCCAGGCACTATGAAGACAGAAGTGAGAGAAATGAAATGGCATAGGCCCTGCCCTCCTGGAGCCTAGAATCTGGTGAGGGAGGAGAGACTGTAGAATAATTCTACCAGCCAGGCACAGTAGCTTATGCCTGTAATCCCAGCACTTTGGAGGCCAGGAGTTCGAGACCAACCTGGCCAGCATGATGAAACCCCATCTCTATTAAAAATACAAAAATTAGCTGGGCGTGGTGGTGCACAACTATAATCCCAGCTACTCGGGAGGCTGAGGCAGGAGGATCACTTGAACCCAGGAGGCGGAGGCAGCAGTGAGCCAAGATCACACCACTGCACTCCAGCCCAGGCCACAGAGTGAGACTCTGTCTCAAAAAAAAAAAAAAAAAAGAGTGAAGTGCAGGTGTGCCTCCAATCTGGTCCTGGAGGTTGGGGATGATTCCTGGTCAAAATCTGAAAGGCCAAGAAGGGTCAACAAGGTGAAGAGAGGAGAGGCTTGTTCCAGGCAAAAAGAACAGTGGGAAGGAGCAAGCATGGCAGACGACGTGGAAGGGAAGGCAGGCGGAGGTTCCAGAGGCTGCAGCCTTTCTGCCTGCATTCTAAGAGCAATGGGTGATTTAAGCAGGAGGTGACAGGTCGGGGCTCGGAAGGCCTCTCTGCCTCTGTGTGGAAAAGGGCCTGGAGAGTAGAAACAGATTTAGTTAGCTGGGCGTGATGGCTCATGCCTGTAATCCCAGCACTTTGGGAAGCCAAGGCAGGCAGATCACCTGAGGTCAGTTCAAGACCAGCCTGACCAACATAGTGAAACCCCGTCTCTACTAAAAATACAAAATTAGCAGGCATAGTGGTGTGCACCTGTAATCCCAGTTACTCAGAGGCTGAGGCTGGAGAATCACTTGAACCCCAGAGGCAGAGGTTACAGTGAGCCAAGACCGTGCCACTGCATTCTAACCTGGGAGATAGAGCAAGACTCCATCTCAAAGAAAGAAAGAAAGAAAGAAATATATGTAGTCAGACAGTGGGGAATCACTGCGGTCTGGGGAAGCAAAGCTGGGGATGGAGGACGCAGACAGGTCCCAGAGACACCGAAGAAATCAGCAGGACTCCTGAGCCATCAATCGGCAGGACCGGCTGGAGGAGAGGGACGGTATCCAGCTGGCCTGCATAATACCAGGTTCATCTTGAGGTTGACATTTATCCTTGACCTTTTTGTTTAGTCCCCACCCACAAGGTCGCATTAGCTGCCTGCTGAGTTTAATCAAATCTCTTCCTGTCCTGGCAAAGCCCGGGAATGAAGGGATAATCAGTCTATTTCCAGAATCCAAAGAGGTTTAGAAGAAAAAGTAGCTTTCATTTAGCTGTTGGCCCTCCCACCAACCTTCCCCAAGTGAGCCAGGTGACTCATACATATGTGAGACCCTCTGTCTGGAGACTGGGGCGGAGGGTGTTGCTTAATGCCCAGAACTGCTGAAACTACCAGTTCACTGTCTGAGCACTAATCCTACTCTGCTCCTTAAGTGGGATTTGGCTTTTAGACATTGAGACCTGGATGCTGGGCATCCTCGCTAGATCCCCTACAAATTCCCTGCATACGTAGCCCAGGGCCTCGGCAGTGCCTCTGCGGGCTCATCTGGTGAGACGGTAGCAGCTTGCTCAGAACAGGCACTGGCTGTTCATCATCTCAGGGCATAGAGACCCTCTCCTTGCCACCTGGCTTTTCCCACCCGGTTGGTGACAAATCACAAGGTATGTGACCACCACAGGCCAAAACCTTCTCAGAAACCTGGGGCAGGTGTGGCGGGGGGAGCTAGGATGGGTGTTTTCATGCAGACAGTATGTCCCGGCTTCACTTTTTCTGTGTGGTTTCCGTAAGACTGTAATTAAGGAGACTCAGAGTGAGTCGGGGGCAGTGGCTCATGCCTATAGTCCCAGCGATTCAGGAGGCTGAGGATGGAGGATTGCTTGAGGCCAGGAATTCGAGACCAACTTGAGCAATACAGTCAAACCCAGTCTCTCCCAAAAAAAAAAAAAAAAATTAACTAGGCATGGTGGCACACACCTGTAGTCCTAGCTACTCCGTAGGCTGAGGCAGGAGGATTACTTGAGCCCAGGAGTTTGAGGCTGCAGTGAGCTATGATTGTGGCACTGCCCTCCAGCCCAGGCAACAGAACGAGATCCTGTATCTTAAAAAAAAAAAAAAAGCCTCAGAGTATGTTTAATTCCAGACCACTAAGATGGCCTCTTAATTGTAAAACAGAGTGGTAAAAGGGATAGCAAGAAAAGGCTATCTCTCAGTATGAACTGCTAAATAGAACTTTTGGGATTTTAATATATTCTTTTTTTTTTTTTTTAAGGTAGGATCTTTTTTTAAAAAAAGAGAAAAGGCAGGATCTTGCTGTGTCACCCAGGCCAGTCTCCACCTCCTGGCTTCAAATGATCCTCTTGCTTCAGCCTCGCAAAGTATTGAGACTACAGGTGTGAGCCACAGTACCTGACCATTAGTATATTCTTGGAAACAGTATTTGTGAAGTGGTTATGTTGTGGTTTTCAGGAACTTTTTTGATTTATTTGTCATAAGACACTGTCATGCTAGAACTTTAAATTGAACCTGGCTAAGTGTGACAACATCAAAGGTTTGTCAGAAAGGAAAACCTCGATGGAATCCAGCTAGACTCCCTGGTGAGGTTTACTGAAAAATGTTCGAAGCTTACCAAAACAATGAAATATTCAACTGGGTGAGGTGGCTTACTCCTGACCTCTGCCTTGGGTGGATCACCTGAGGTCAGGAGTTCAAGACCAGCCTGGCCAACATGGCAAAACCCTGTCTCTGCTAAAAATACAGAAAAAAAAAATTAGCTGGGTGTGGTGGTGGGCACCTATAATCCCAGACTTGGGAGGCTGAGGCATGAGAATTACTTGAACCCAGGAGGTGGAGGTTGCAGTGAGCTGAGATTGCACCATTGAACTCCAGCCTGGGTGACAGAGTGAGACGCTGTCTCAAAAAAAAAAAAAAAAAAGTAAAGAAAATATTAAAAACACCCAAAGCATGCCACAGTAAAATGCAAACTAAGCAAAGACTAATCAATGAAACACAATGTTGAAGCAGGTGGAAGGGAAGGTCCAGTGAGGGTGCACAGCATCTCATGAGTAGGTCTTCTACCCAGGATGTTCTTGACTTGATATTTATGATTGTCTTGCCTTTCCCCAGCCCTCTAACACCTGACGAACTTCCCAAGGAGGTAGAAGTTGCCAGGGACAGATAACATGGCTGCCAGCGGGAAGACCAGCAAGTCCGAACCGAACCAAGTTATCTTCAAGAAGGTCTCCCGGGACAAATCGGTAAGTGGTGCAGAAGTGAGTGGCTTGACAGAAATTATTGTTAAAAAAAAAAAATGGAGCTTTTTCAAGTACGGTGTAGTCACGATCAACATCAAAACCCTTTGAGGGCCGGGGCGCGGTGGCTCACACCTGTAATCCCAGCACTTTGGAAGGCTGAGGCTGGTGGATCACTTGAGGCCAGGAGTTTGAGACCAGCCTGGCCAACATGGCAAAACCCTCTCTACTAAAAATACAAAAATTAGCTGGGTGTGGTAGTGGGTGCCTATAATCCCAGACTTGGGAGGCTGAGGCACGAGAATTACTTGAACCCAGGAGGTAGAGGTTGCAGTGAGCCCAGATCATGCCACTGCACCCCAGCCTGGGTAACAGAGGGAGACTATGTCTCAAAGAAAAAGACAAACAAACCCTATGAGGAGCAGGGAAGCTTTGTGTCTATTTTCCATCTCTGTCTAAGATGGATGATCAGTGAGATAGAAATGAATGAATGAACTGCAGAAATACAGCTTCTCTTCAATCTCATCAAGATGTTAGTCCTATGACCCTCCATTTTCTCCCAATCTCTCAATCCCCACACTGTCACCCCCCACCTCTGCTTCTTTTCCTAGCTGGCCTTCCTTGAACCCTTGACTTACTATTTAAACACTGTTTTGTCAGTACCTGTGATGCCCTTGGCCTTTCATCTATCTATTGTGTCACCTGCCTGGGTAAAACCCAGACACTGATCAATGTGACTCCTTCTTTGTGCACCTACCCCACTCAAACCTCAGTGGGGCCTGAGGGGCCACTGGAAAAGGGAACATGCCCCAGTGTGCCCCCTTCCCACCACTCTTCAGGGGCATGTTAGATGCTCCAGATGTGCCTATGAACTTCCTGGCATGGGAGAGGGTCTACCCTCCAGCCTCTGTGGATAGCTCCACTCAATAGCTTCTTACATCTAGCTCAGCATAGTCCAGTGCAAGCCACAGATGTAATTTTAAATTTTCTAGTAGCCACTTTTAAAAAGTAAGAAGAAATAGGTGAAATTCATTTTGATGCTATATATCCAAAGCTCATTATGTCCAAAAAACTATCATTTCAATTCATAAATAATAATATAAGAATTATTGGCTGGGCACAGTGGCTCACACCTGTAATCCCAGTACTTTGGGAGGCCGAGGCGGCCAGATCATGAGGTCAAGAGATCAAGACCATCCTGGCCAACAGAAGGAAACCCTGTCTCTACTAAAAATACAAAAATTAGCTGGCAGTGGTGGTGCGTGCCTTAGTCCCAGCTACTCGGGAGGCTGAGGCAAGAGATTTGCTTGAACCCAGGAGGCGGAGGCTGCAGTGAGCTGAGTTGTGCCACTGCACTCCAGCTTGGCACCTTGCGACAGAGCAAGACTCTGTCTCAAAAAAAAAAAAAAGAATTATTGAAATCTGGTGTGTATTTTACGTTTACAGAACATGTCGATTTGGAATGGCCATATCTGAAGTGTCCAGGAGCCACCTTAGGCAGGGGCTACCGCACTGGACAGGGTAGCTCGTCATGATTCTGCCTTTTTTTTTTGAGATGGGGTCTTGCTCTGTCATCCAGGCTGGAGTGCAGTAGTCCCATCTCAGCTCACTGCCACCTCCGCCTCCCGGGTTCAAGCGATTCTTCTGCCTCAGCTTCCCTAGTAGCTGGGACTACAGCCAGGGTGCCACCATGCCTGGCTAATTTTTGTATTTTTAGTAGAGACAGAGTTTCACCATGTTGGCCAGGCTGGACTCAAAGTCCTGACCTCAGGTTATCCACCCACCTCGGCCTCCAAAAGTGCTGGGATTACAGGCATGAGCCTCGGCTCCCAGCCCATTCTGGCTGACTTCTGAAGCCCGTAAGTGGCCCAAAGAACCTCCCCATCCTTACGGTGCCACCCAGGAGATCAGGCCTTGCCTATGCGATTTCTGCCTTCTCCTCTTCTAGTTAAGGAGCTTGGTCATTTTAATCAAGGACTCTCATTCTTTCAGTCTCCATGCTCTTTCCCAAGTTGTATCTTTCCAGCCCATTTTATCTCAACTTCTGGCTGAAGAGGAAACCACTCGTGTTTGTTTCCCAGGCTGTTCTCCCCTCGCTCCTAGATAGACATCCTTTCCCCCAAGAAATGTAGAGGGTTTTCATAGATATGTCATCGCAGGGGGGTGGAAAAAGAATTCATTCAATTCCTGTCTCATGTATTCAGATCATTTCACCAGCGACATCTGTGTGGCCCCAGGCACAGTGTGTCAGGGCTCTGAGCCTTTTCCTCTGTGATTCTCCTGATGCCGCCCTCTTCTTTAACCTTCATGCTCCAGCAGGTGGCTCAATGACTCCCCCAGCTCCCGACGTCTCACCTGCTCTTGACAGCATCCAGAAGGAAGAGGCTGTGGGACCCTGGAAGGAAGAGGCTGTGGGGTCCTGGGGTCTCTTGTAAGGGTCAGGACATCTTTCCGAAGCCTTCTTCTCTCACATGTCATTGGTCAAAACTGGGTCACATGCCCACCCTAAACCAATCCCAACCCAGAAGAATTAGATGATCATAATTGAATCCGGCCAATCAAGAAACGTTCCCTGGAGCTGGCCTCCTCTGAGCGTGCTGCCTCATCAAAGATGGTGGTCCCTGAGCACAGTTTTATCCTGGAAGAAGGGATGTGTGGCTGTTGGATGGTCCCCCATGGGCTGGCTACAGTCTCACATCACTCACCCGCTTCTCTACCTGCCCCCGTCCTGCCCCTGTCCTTCCCGTTGCAGTGGAAGGGGTGCTTTGCTCCCATCTGAGGTTCACCACTCTTATGCACTCGGTTTCATGGTTGGCCACCTCCTCAGGGGCCTCAGCCATTGGTCTGTCTATGTCTGCAGCCTCTCCTTTCTGCTAGTACTTTGCCTGAGCCTAAAAATAAGTACCAGCCGGACGTGGTGGTTCACGCGTGTAATCCCAGCACTTTGGGAGGCCAAGGTGGGTGGATCACCTGTGGTCAGGAGTTCGAGACTAGCCTGGCCAACATGGTGAAACCCCGTTTCTACTACAAATATAAAAATTAGCTGGGCATGGCAGAGGGTGCCTGTAATCTCAGCTATTCGGGAGGCTGAGGCAGGAGAATCTCTAGAACCCGGGAGGTGGAGGTTGCAGTGAGCCAAGACCGCACCACTGCACTCCAACTTGGGAAACAGAGTGAGACTCTGTCTCAAAAGAAAAAATAAGTACGGACCTCATGCATCATAAAAACAACCACCAACTGCCCTCAACCCTATATCCTTTATAGCTCCCCTTCCCTGGCAGCCAAACCTTTTGAAAGAGAAGGAAACATTCCTCTCTCCACCTACCCTCTTCTCTTCCATCCACTCTTCAGTCCCCTAAGTCCCCACCACGGTCGGGCTGCCTAACTGGCTCTCCCTTTGCTGATCCGTTCCCCACTGTGCTGCTATGAGCTAAATCTCAGTGCTCCCTTCTATAAAATGGGCTCAATTCCTATCTCATTGACTTGCTGTGAGGATTAAGTGAAACCATGTGGTCAAAGTGCTTAGCTTGGCCCCTGATACATGATAAGCACTCTAAATGCTATTTAATTCTTCCAAAAGCTATTTATTTAGCGTCTCTAAATACTGTTTAATTCAAGTCTTTCATCCTGCTTAAAACACTTCACGGTCTTCTGAGGTTCTTTAGGGTCAGGTCCTATGAGACCATTTCAGCAGCAGCCTGCATCCCCATTCAATGGTGAAACCACTGGCAGTTCTAGAAGCATTCTCGGGCCCTGGGCTTTGTATACGTTTTGCTCAGAGAGCATGCCCTCACTGTCCCCTGTCCCCTGGCTATGCCATTTGTCCACTGGATAGAGCCCCCTCTGAAAGCAAGAGCCTTCCTTCTCTCCTTGCCCTCCCCTGGGGCTTCCTCCCCACCAGCCTTTGCCCTGGCATTTATCCCAGGGGCATAATTGCCAGTTTACTTACTGGGCTCCCAACCAAAGAGCAGGGACCTTGGGGACCAATGGGATGTCTTCTTGGGTTTTTATTTTCAGTAGCCAGCAGCTGCTGGGGCCTCCAGAACCATGTGTGAGATGAAATAGACAGGCGAAGTCTAGCTGAGGAGACTGGCTCCTGTGAGAGCACCCAGAACATGGTGTGGTGCAGGCTGCAGTGGGGCCCAGGCACATGCTCCTGGGTTGTGCGGGGCAAAGGGAGAGATGGGGACCCTGAGGTGTCCCCTGAAGCGTGGATAGGACTCCCCCCAGGAGAAAGCGCAGCAGACGGGCCTTCCTTACAGTGTAAACAATAGGAACAGAGCCACAAATCTGTGGTGTTTTGAGGAGCTGTGGCAGAGCCACTGTGGCCAGTGGCCAAAGAGCAGAGCTGTTAGGGAGGATGCTCTCAGCGTGGCCACACACAAGGCACTGGAGTTTATTCCACAGGGAAGGAGCGAGCTGCCAGTAGACGCTGAGCAGCAGAATAGCAATGTATCAGCCACGATTCCTGCAAGGCAGCCTCTAAATGGGTAGATTTGAGGAGATATATATATATATATATATGGTTTTTTAAATAAATATCACATTTTTAATTGCATTTTAGGTTTTGGGGTACATGTGAAGAACATGTAAGATTGTTGCATAGGTACACACATGGCAGCGTGATGTGCTGCCTTCCTCCCCATCACCTATATCTGGCATTTCTCCCCATGCTATCTCTCTCTAACTCCCCACTCCCGCTGTCCATCCCCTATTTCCCCCCAACAGACCCCAGCGTGTGATGCTCCCCTCCCTGTGTCCCTGTGTTCTCATTGTTCAACACCCACCTATGAGTGAGAACATTCGGTGTTTGATTTTCTGTTCTTGTGTCAGTTTGCTAAGAATGATGTTTTCCAGGTTCATCCATCTCCCTACAAAGGACACGAACTCATCATTCTTTATGGCTGCATAGTATTCCACGGTGTATATGTGCCACATTTTCCCTGTCCAGTCTATCATCGATGGGCATTTGGGTTGGTTCCAGGTCTTTGCTATTGTAAACAGTGCTGCAATGAACATTCATGTGCATGTGTCCTTATAGTAGAATGATTTATAATCCTTTGGATATATACCCAGTAATAAGATTGCTGGGTCAAATGGAATTTCTATTTCTAGGTCCTTGAGGAATCACCACACTGTCTTCCACTGGTTTTTTTTTAAATTTGAGACTGGGTCTTACTCTGGAGACCAGCGAAGATCTCTTTACCCGCTTTGTGGAAGAACAGGGTTGGAGTGCAATGGTACAATCGTAGCTCCCTACAGTTCAGCCTCCTAGGTTCAAGTGATCCTCCTTCCTCAGCCTCCGAAGTAGTTGGGACTACAAGCAGGCACCACCTTGCCAAGCTAATTTTTAAAACACTTTTTTTGTAGAGATGGCAAGCGGCAGAGGCGGGCTATCACTTTGTTGCCCAGGCTTGAACTCCTGACTTCAGGCAATCCTTCTGACCTTGGTCTCTCAGTGCTGGGATTATAAGCATGAGCCATTGTACCTGACCAGAGGAGAGTTTTTAAAAGGGGCTGTTTGCTAAGGTGTGGGCATGTGTGAAAGAAATCACAAGAAATAGCCAGGTGCAGTGGCTCATGCCTGTAATCCCAGCACTTTGGAAGGCCAAGGCAGGTGGATTGCTTGAGCCCAGGAGTTTGAGACCAGCCTGGGCAACATGGGGAGACCCCATCTCTACAAAAAAATACAAAAAATTAGCTGGGCATGGTGGCATGCATCTGGGAGGCTGTGGTGGGGGAATAACTTGATCCTGGGACACAAAGGTTTCAGTGGGCCACGATAGTGCCATTGCACTCCAGGCTGGGTGACAGAATGAGACCTTGTCTTAAAAAAAAGAGAGAGAGATTACAAGACAGAGTTTAGTATGTCACACAGCATTGAGAAGCAGCTGGGCACTGGTACCTCCCTGGGCTTAAGAGATGAGGGATGGCACAAATATCAGAACTCCGAGGCCCTCAGGGCTACCTGCCAGGAACTGTGGTCCCCAGTAGAGGCCTATGCTAGACCCAGGCCGGGCCACCATCCAGGCAAGGTGGAGACAAACATCTGGCCCACCTTACCCAGAAGCCAGAAGGCCAGGGAATCTAGTAGGGCAACACCCTCTGGTCAACCCCCAAGGGTGGATCTTGAGGGTGAGGCCAAGACACCCAAGGTGTTAGGTGTTTAGGAAGCTGGGACTCACTGCAAGAACCAGCAGCTAGCATGTGTGTCCCAGTCAGCCCTCTCCTCTCAGATGCCGGGTCTGGAAGCCTGACTTAGTGCTGGGAGTGTAGTTTCCCATGGAATCTTTTCTGTAAACCAGGGTTCTAGTGGTGTTTGCTTGAAGTCACTTCAGCATTAATCATGCAAGTAGCCTAGAGGGCACAGGGCTACACTTCGGGACATCTGATGTGGGTGGAAGGGGAGAGTATAGAGAGGACTTAATGCCCACAGAAATGATTTAGGCGGTTCCTGGAATTCAAAATATGCATTTGAAGAAGGGGGCCAGCCAAAGGGTGTGCTCTCATTCATTGAAGCACTTGGCAAACACTGAGTCTTTTTGTGCCCTAGACTCCGTAATAGATGCTTAAAGATGTGCAGAAGACCCCAGCTTACCACCATCAAGGCACAATCCCATGGGTTAAAGTGCTGAGGGCCGGGGAACCCAATCCTGCTCTCCCATAAGTTCTTTTTTGTTGCTGTTGTTTTGAGACAGAGTCTCACTCTGTCACCCAGGCTGGAGTGCGGTGGCACAATCTCTGCTCACCGCAACCTCCGCCTCCCAGGCTCAAGCAATTCTCCTGCCTTAGTCTTTTGAGTAGCTGGGATTACAGGCGTGCACCATCATGCCTGGCTAATGTTTGTGTTTTTAGTAGAGACAGGGTTTTTGTCATGTTGGCCAGGCTGGTCTCGAACTCCTGACCTCAGGTGATCTACCCGCCTCAGCCTCGCAAAGTGCTGGGATTACAGGCATGAGCCACCACGTCCACCCTGTCCAGAAGTTCTTGTAGCAGAGAGGGGATACCTTTCATTCCACTGCTGGAAATAAAAGATTTAACAGCAAATGGATGGCAAAAGTTTCATTTCCATAATTTTCCACTGAGGTATTAAAAGGTAATTCAGCAAGTTTAGCTGACTGATATCCAACCTGGGCTTGATGAGGGAAAGATGGGGAGAACAGGGAGCCCCGACCGTCCAAAGGGGTGGGAAGAATTCCTTGGAGCAGATGGACGAGAACTGAGGACAGAACACACGTTGCCTGAAATCTATTGTCTCTGCCCACAGCCGAGCCAGCGCGACTGCAAAGCCTCCTTTTTTCAAGATGAATGAGAAGATGCAGTTGCCGCTGGTTTTCATCATGGATGCCTTAGCTTAGCATTCTTTGGCTCTTAGACCCACGCCTGTTCTTCTTGCAGGTGACCATCTACCTAGGGAAGAGAGACTACGTAGACCACGTCAGCAAAGTCCAGCCTGTGGGTAAGTTGATTGGAGAAAGCCGTAATGCTGTTTTGCCTTTAAGTCATCAGATAACTGCCCACTTTGTATTTTTAAAAATCGGGAGAGGAGGTGGAGGGGTGAAAAAAAAATCGGCTTTGCTATTAATCTAATTAAAGAAATGCAAATTAAAACATCAGTGAGGCACCACTGGCTGATTGGAAACAATTTTATTTATTTTTACTTTTATTTTTGAGATGGAATTTCATTCTTGTTGCCCAGGCTGGAGTGCAGTGTCACAATCTCAGCTCACTGCAACCTCTGCCTCTTGGGTTCAAGTGAGTCTCCTGCCTCAGCCTCCCAAGTAGCTGGGATTACAGGCATGTGCCATCATGCCAGCTAATTTTGTATTTTTAGTAGAGATGGGGATTTACCATGTTGGTCAGGCTAGTCTTGAACTCCTAACCTCAGGTGGTTCACCTGCCTCGGTCTCCCAAAGTGCTGGGATTACAGGAGTGAGCCACTGCATCCAGCTGGAAACAATTTTAAACTGTGTGAAGAGACAAAAGACTCATGTCTGGAATGTATGAAGAGTGCTCAGAGCTTAACAAAAAAGTAAGATGCTAGGAGAAAATGGGCAAAGACAGGAAGGGAAGGTACATGGTAGACAAGCGAGCCTGTGGCAACCTGTTTGGCATCATTATCCAATAGGGAAATACAGATTAAAGCTACACTGAGAGTATATTGTACACCTACCAAAATGGCTACAATATTTTAGGTTGATGCAAAAGTAATTGCAGTTTTTTTGCCATTCCTTTCAATGTACTAGCACGATCTTGGCTCACTGCAACCTCCGCCTCCTGGGCTCAAGTGATCCTCCCACCACGGCCTCCTAAGTAGCTGAGACTTCAGGCATGTGCCACCACGCCTGGCTACTTTTTGCATTTTTTGTAGAGTTGGGGTTTCACCATGTTACCCAGGCTGGTCTCGAACTCCTGAGTGCAAGTGATCTGCCTGCCTCAGCCTCTCAAAGTGCTGAGATTACAGGCATGAGCCACTGCACCCAGCAGCAGTCCTTATGACCTGACAGTTGCATCCCGGGCACTTAGAGAAATGAAAACTGGTGTCCTCACAAAAACCTATACGCCACTGTTCACAGCAGCTTCATTTGTGGTAGCTCCAAACCAGAAAGAACAAAAATGTCCTCAGAATGTCCCACGTCAGCTTCCTAGTTTTGATATCGCACTATAATTATGGCAGATGGAACCATTGAGAGAAACTGCATGAAGGATACTAGGGGCGTCTCGGTACTATCTTTGCAGCTTCCTGTGAATCTGTAATCATTTCAACACAAAGGGTTTTTAAAGACTGTAGAAAAACTGGCAGTTTCGGATACTGGATATGAAAATGTTCCTTGGCAAAACCCTTTACCGAAGATTATTTGGCAGCACGTTATCAAAAGCCAAATCCAATCTGTAATTTATTTTTTTAAACCATGGAGAGATATAGAGAAGTATGTATAAGGATGCTTATCACAATATTAACTCTAATGGGAAACACTGGAAACAACCTCCCGATAGGAAGTGATGAAATAATTGACGGAGCATCCATTCAATTGAGTAATGTGTAGCTATTAAAATGCACGTTTTCTCTATATGTGTCTGTATATGTATACACGTGTGTATAGATGTACGTATGTGTGAATAGATGTTTGCAATGTATAACTGAGTGAGGAAAACGCCTAACTGAACAGTATGTGCAGTAGGGTCTTTTTTTTATTTAGTGAAAACTTTCATATAATTAAGTTATATATGTTGGGGTGTGCAGGGCAGTGTCTCACTCTGTCACCTAGGCTGGAGTGCAGTGGCACAGTCGCAGCTGACTGCAGCCTCAACCTCACAGGTTCAAGAAATGCCCCTACCTCAGCCTCTCAGGTAGCTGGGACCACAGGTGTGCACCACCACGCCTGGCCCATGCCTTACTACCTTGTTTTCTTTTTAGTATGTTTTGAGAAAAGTTCCGACTCTCCCCAGGATTGAGTGAAGTGGCGTGATGATGACCTACTGCAGCCTTGACTTCCCTGGCTCAAGGGATCCTCCTGCCTCAGCCTGGTTGGAACTAAAGACATGCGCCACCATGCCCAGCTAATTTTTTTATTTTTTAGAGACAGGGTCTCATTTTGTTACCAAGGCTGCTGGCTTATATTTTAAAAACTTTCTGTAGAGACAAGGATCTCACTGTGTTGCTTAGGCTGGTCTGGAACTCCTGGGTTTGAGCAATCCTCCTGCCTTGGCCCCCCAAAGTGCTGGGATTACAGGCACAAGCCACCACGCCTGGTCTGGAAAAAAAAATCCTCACCAAGATCTTCACAATGGGTATTTTAGGTAGTACGAGTCTGGATGACTTCGTTTTCTCTTTGCTTAACTTTTCTTTCTTATAATGAACATGAATTACATGTGCAGTTAAAAACGTACATCGTTTTAAAGTAGGCGTCTGGTTTCTTTGATCTTCTTCACCCTCACTGCTCTCTCCCTCTTTTGCCTTAGATGGGGTTTTGTTGGTGGATCCTGATCTTCTGAAGGGAAAGAAAGGTGAGATAAAACCGCTTGCCTCAGGCTGGGTTCTGGCCGGAGCGGGCTGCTCTCTGGGTGGCTCTGGGAAGGAGCATTTACATGGAAGGAGAGATGGGAAGGCAGAGGCAGTGCTCCTGCACATGGGACCAGTGTCAGGCCTGTTGGCCCACATTCCTAATTCACTCCACGTAGGTCCTGTTGACACCAGAGCTCACTGGCTCAGCAAAGTCACTGTCCAGGGTGGCAGATAAGTAGATGGTAGACGGAGCCCAGGTCCGTGCTCACCCCTGTGTCATGGACGTCTGTGCTAGGGGCAAACTCAGGAGGGCACCTAGGTGGTTTTATCCAAAAAGGGCGAAATGATGCCTGATGGGAGGCAGGGGGAGTAAGACCCAGAAGGAATGAACCAGTGTCACGGTGCCCTTGAAGATTTCTGGCAGTTTTGATGTGTGTGGTAAGTAATTTGTTGCTAATAACAGTTGCATAAACCAAATTAGAACAGATTCCAGCTACCCTTGTGATAATGTCACTGACTCAGTTCCATTCTAAATATGCCTTTTTGCGTGTTGCTACTGGCAACGTGAAGGAATTGTCCAGAACCCTGATGTGCCACTGGAATATGTCAGCTGTGGGGCCGTCAGCATCGAAGGGGAATGGCCGAAATGGGGCCCCAAGCAGCCCCCTCTGTCCTCTCCACCTTCCTCCTGGGTGCCCTGCTCCTCTCTAGACCAGGAGGTATCTGGTTTGAGCCCCAAAAACTCATGCCCTTGACCAGAGAATGGTGCCTGTTCTCAGGGAAAGCCACTGCACAGGACAGCTGTCAACCCAGGTTGTCTCTGGCACCTTCTTCATCCTGACCTTGAATGAGGGGCAAATGAGTGGGCAGTGTTTCTTCTGAGTCAGCGGCAATTTGGGGCTGACAGGCAAAATTCTCAACCAACAGCTGCCACACACTTGGAGGGGCCACTTCCGATGTGTTATATTTGAGAAATACACACTTCATGCCTTTTTTTTTTTTTTTTTTTGAGATGGAGTTTCACTCTTGTTACCGAGGCTGAGTGCAATGGTGTGATCTCGGCTCACCGCAACCTCCGCCTCCTGGGTTCAGGCAATTCTCCTGCCTCAGCCTCCCAAGTAGCTGGGACTACAGGCGCACACCACCATGCCCAGCTAATTTTTATATTTTTAGTAGAGACGGGGTTTCACCATGTTGACCAAGATGGTCTCGATCTCTTGACCTTGTGATCCACCTGCCTCGGCCTCCCAAAGTGCTGGGATTATAGGCGTGAGCCACCACGCCTGGCCACTTCATGTCTTTTTTAGAAGGTGTAGTGAACTTCCATACAATTATTTATTTTTCTTTTTTTTTTTTTGAGATGGAGTTTCACTCTGTTGTCCATGTTGGAGTGCAGTGGTATGATCTCAGCTCACTGCAACCTCTGCCTCCCGGGGTCAAGCTATTCTCCTGCCTCAGTCTCCTGAATAGCTGGAATTACAGGTGTGCACCACCATGCCCAGCTAATTTTTGTATTTTTAGTAGAGACGGTGTTTCACTATGTTAGATAAGATGGTCTCGATCTCTTGACCTTGTGGTCTGCCAAAGTGCTAGGATTATAGGTGTGAGCCATGGTGCCTGGCCAGAGCTTCCATACAATTCTTTTGGTCCACTAGGCACGCCCTTTAAGTCTATTCAGCAAGTGGAATTTTCAGAAGTGGGGATTTGGAGAATGCTCAGTACATTTCAGAGCAGTGTGAAAAGGAGGCTGGAACTCGAGCCTTCTCAACTTGGATTTCACCTCCCCATTTGGCCTGTGAGCCTTTCTGGCTCCTCGCTCAGCCCACGACTGACGCTGGCACACATCTGCTTTGCTGCCCGGCACCGTTTCCCTCTGCATCTTACCTTCTTTCTTCATTTATCCAGGCATCCTGCCCTCCAGAGCCTGAGAAGCCAGAGCCATCTCAAAGCCTCTGAGGCCACAGAGCTAGGGAATGAAGGGGGTGGGCAGGATGGAGGGGACCGTGACCTCTTTCTGCAGATTCACACCATCCTGGCAACGCGATGCGGTTGGGAGGAAGATGCCTCCCAGTCCTCCAGGATCCCCCATTAGAGCAGTGAATCCTCATGAAGAGGCTGGTTCTCCAGAGCGGTGTGGAGTACTTGGGTGGTCGGGTTCTCTCCAGTCCCATCCCCTGTCCCCTCCAGATGCTAAAGGTTGCAAACCCATGCCCGCTGCCCACTCCATCAGTGGTAGTGGGAGGCAGGCCAAGGGGCCAAGACCGATCCTGCCTTCCTCTCCTTTGCAGTGTACGTCACTCTGACCTGCGCCTTCCGCTATGGCCAGGAGGACATTGATGTGATCGGCCTGTCCTTCCGCAGGGACCTGTACTTCTCCCGAGTCCAGGTGTACCCTCCTGTGGGGGCTGCGAGCACCCCCACAAAACTGCAAGACAGCCTGCTGAAAAAGCTGGGGAGCAACACATACCCCTTTCTGCTCACGGTAGGTGACTCCCCGGCCCAGCCCTGCTCCCTTCACCCCAGCACCTTATCATGTGGATGGGGCAAAGGAAAGGGAACAGAGGAAGGACTTCACATCTGCGGGCCTGGAAATTGCACCCTTGAAAGAAATTCTAGATTGCATGGTCTGTGATTGTCTTTTTTTAAGTCCTTGAAAATAGCCTGTCAGCCTTTGAAGACACCCTTTCCACCTACCGTTTACATGTTTCCCTTCACCCGACCCCCTAATTACGAGAGCACATGTTACTCCTTTGCTTGCTAAGCTCTAAAAGGAAAGCTCACAGAAGTGCCCCTCGCTGGCCTGGGGAGTTCCAAGCAGGAAAGGGTTCCTTACGAGACAGGAGAGCTTAGTGAAGTAAAGCATCACCTTTTTCCTTGCCCACAGCTTGGGGGATCACAGGAGATCATCCCTCTCGAAACCCATCTCTCATCCACTGAGACCTGGCTACCAACGGTGCCAGTGTGCAAACTCTCTGAAGTCTTGGGCGTGAGCTACCATCCCCTTTACAAGCATGTTTATTTGTCTTAAGAGCATATATACTTCCAAAGTTACATGGTTCAGCCTTAAAAAGGAATGAACCAGCCGGGCACGGTGGCTCACGCCTGTAATCCCAGCAGTTTGGGAGGCCGAGGCGGGTGGATCACGAGGTCAAGAGATCGAGACCATCCTGGTCAACATGGTGAAACCCCGTCTCTACTAAAAATACAAAAAACTAGCTGGGCATGGTGGCGCGTGCCTGTAATCCCAGCTACTCAGGAGGCTGAGGCGGGAGAATTTGCCTGAACCCAGGAGGCGGAGGTTGCAGTGAGGCGGATCATTGCACTCCAGCCTGGGTAACAAGAGCGAAGCTCTGTCTCAAAAAAAAAAAAAAGGAATGAACCATGTGCTACACCAGGGATGAACCTTGAATACATTATACTAAATGAAAGGACCCAGCCACAAAAAGACAGATACCATATGGTTTCACTTGTAGCCGATACCTGCAGTAATCAGACTGATACAGACAGAGAGAGAATACAGCTTCCCACAGGCTGGGGGGATGGAGGATGGGGAGTTGCAGTTTAATGGGAACAGAGCTTCAGACTGGGTTGATGAAAAAGTTCCGGTGAGCGATAGTGGTGATTACTGCAGGATTGAATGAAGGTACTTAATACCAATGAACTGTACAGTTAAAATAGCTTGAATGGTAGATTTGGTGTTATTCTATGTTTATCAAAATTGTTTTAGAAAATCACATTTACAAGAAAGTTATATGGTCCCAGGGGCTCCCATGTACTTGCGCTGAGAGTCTGAAGTGGCATTACCTTTTAGAGACAATATGTCAATGAGTATTGAAAATCTTAAAAAGTGTGCTTCTCTTTCTAGCAATGCAGCTTATGAAATTAATTGGCTAAAACTGATTTATTATAGCATTGTTTATAATGACAAAAAAACTAAAGCCCATTTAAGTAGGCAGCAAAGGGGACTGGCTACATTAAATGTATATAGAGCCCTAAAAAGGATGATTCGGAACTGTATTTTATGATGTGGAAAATGGTCACAATGCTTTCTGAAAAGGGCGAGTTAATGAAGCGAATAAACAGGCTACAGGACATGCTCATCACTTGGTCCCTTTTCTGTAAAATGTCTTTTCACATACATATTTATGTGTGGCAAGGCAAGGTGGCTCACGCCTGTAATCCCAGCACTTTGGGAGGCTGAGGCGAGTGGACTACTTAAGATCAGGAGTTCGAGACCAGCCTGGGCAATGTGGTGAAACCCCATCTCGGGCAAAAATACACAAATGAGCTGGGCATGGTGCCGTGTGCCTGTAATCCCAACTGCTTGGGAGACTGAAACATGAGCATTGCTTGGACCCGGGAGACAGAGGCTGCAGTGAGCCAAGATCGTGCCACTGCACTCCAGTCTGGGTGACAGAATAAGATTCCGTCTCTAAACAAAACATCTATTTATGTGTACAGCAGGAAACTTTGGGAAGGTTACATTAGCAACGTCTGCTTGGGTGTTAGGAGTACAGGTGAATGCGTTTTTTCCTTTTTCTTGCTTATCTTTATTTTCTAATTTTTACATGATGATTCTATATTACTCCTGGAATAGATCCCTGTGAAATAAATGATATTTTGTTTCTTTCCACAGTTTCCTGACTACTTGCCCTGTTCAGTGATGTTGCAGCCAGCTCCACAAGACCCAGGAAAGGTTAGTTCAAGAAGAAACGCTATGGGCTTATGGATTTGCTCATTCCTTCAATCGCCGTTTTTTTTTTTTTTTTTTTTTTGGAAACAGGGTTTTACTCTGTTGCCCATGCTGGGGGGCAGTGGCATGATCTGGGCTCACTGCAACCTCTGCTTCCTGGCTCAAGCAACTCTCCAGCCTCAGCATCTCAAGTAGCTGGGCCTACAGGTGCCACCACACCCAGCTAATTTTTGTATTTTTCATAGAGATGGGGTTTTACCATGTTGACCAGGCTGGTCTCAAATTCCGGATCTCAAGTGATTTGCCTGCCTGCCTTGTTCTCCCAAAGTGTTGGGATTATAGGCTTGAGCCACCACAATGGCTCCTTCAATAGACTTCTAAAGATAGCTTTTTATCATGGAATATTTCAAACATACCCAAAAGTAGAGTGATCAGTGTAAAGATCGTCTAGGAACGCATCGTTTGTGTTCAGCAATTATTAACCATCAACATCCTTGTGAACAAAATCACAGAGACATGACCCCCATGAGTCTTACACATTAACCGAGGGCCCCAGGCAAGACCCAAATAACGTGTCAGGTGGCCACAGATGCTGTGGAGAGCAAGAGGCTTGTGAGAGACAAGGGGAGTACCTGGTGGGATGTGTGTTGAGGGGGTTAAAGAAGGCCTGTAATTAGGCAAAGGAGAAAGCCACACTCTCCCAGGGGAGAGCCTTTCAGGTATAGGATGCACCTCACCTGGTGTTCCCAGGGGCAGCAAGGAGGCTGCCTGCTGAGTGAGAGGGGGAAGGGATGGAAGGGAAGGCCAAGTGCAGTAGCTCAGGCCTGTCGTCCCAGCATTTTGGGAGGCTGAGGCAAGCAAATCAACCCAGGAGTTCAAGACCAGCCTGGGAAACATGGTGAGACCCCATTTCTACAAAAAATACAAAAAATTAGCCAGGCTTGGTGGCATGTGCCTGTAGTCCCAGCTACTTGGGAGGCTAAGGTGGGAGGATCACTTGAGCCCTGGAGGCAGAGGCTGCAGTGAACTGTGATCGTGCCACTGCACTGCGCTCTAGCCTGGGTGATAGATGAGGCCCTGTCTCAAAAACCAACAAACAAAAAAAGAAAGTGGAAAACTGAGGTTAGAGTGGAAGGGGAGGTGTGGCCAGGTCGTAAAGTCCCTTGCAGATGTCATAGAGACTTGGGTTTTTGCCTGAATGAGATGGGAGCCATTGGCAGGCTGTGAATGACAGGTTCTGACTTTCCAAACGGTCACTATTGCCACAGAGGTTGAGAATGGAGTTGAGTTGGCCGGGCATAGTGGCTCATACCTGTAATCCAAGCACTTTGGAGGCCAAGGCAGGCGGATCACCTGAGGTCGGGAGTTCAAGACCAGCCTGACGAACACGGTGAAACCCCCATCTTAAAAAATAATAATAATAAAGAAAGAAAGAGAATGGAGTTGAGTTGGCCAAACATGTGCTGTGGGGGCTGAGGGTGTGTGAGAGAGGAGTGAGCCTGGTGGACAGGGCTCCGGGGACTCCAGCGTGGAAGGAGGCAGTGGGGACAGGAGGAGAGGGAGGTGCCAGGCCTCATGGGTTAGGGCCCTGTAAGCCACTGGGGTCTGGGATTCCTGAGGAAGGGAGCCATACAGATACAACTGAGGGCAGAGTGGCAGGTTCTGTAACTGGATAATGGGATGGGCAGTGATAGGTGATGACAAGGGCAGTGTTTTTATCATGGGGCATCTGACCCATTAGCGGCTTGTGAAATCAATGTAGTGGATCTGAAATGGCATTTAAAAAAAAAATGGAATGTAATGGAACGGAATGGAACGTACAGAACGGAATGGAATGGAATGAAATAGAACAGGCTGGGCATGGTGGGTCACGCCTGTAATCCCTGCACTTTGGGAGGCCAAGGCAGGCAGATCAGATCACCTGAGGTCAGGAGTTTGAGACCAGCCTGGCCAACATGGCAAAACCCCGTCTCTACTACAAATACAAAAATTAGCCAGGCATGGTGGTGAGTGCTTGTAATCCCACCTACTCAGGAGGCTGAGGCAGGAGAATCACTTGAACCTGGGAGGTGGAGATTGCAATGAGCCAAGATCACGCTACTGCACTCCAGCCTGTGGAATGGATTGGAAAATCTCAGAATGTGTCACACATGGTGAAGCTGAATATGGTGTCAGGAGAGTTGTTTCACGTGTGTGTCTGTTTACAGGGCTATGTTATGAATCCAACTTTCAAAACATCTCAAAGCTACTGGTCCAAGAAAATGGGGTGGGGTATGGGCAGCCAAGATGGGGGGAAATTAGGTGATTACAGAAGAAGAGGGCAGAGAACAGTGGGGGATGCGATTGGCTGTGTTAGATCTTACAGTGCTCTATAAGAGAGACTGCAGATTCAGATTTTCAGGTGAGCTTTCTCTCTTGATTTTTACAACACTGTATGGGCCTAACAAAGCACCACCTGTTTCCTCTTCTAGGCGAGGAGAGCATCTTAGCGCAGCTGCAGGGCTTCAGGAAACGGTGAGGTAGGAGCTCCTGAGCCCAGGGAGCTTGAGGGAAGAGCCTGGATGCCTGGGGGCCTGGGGCCTCCACAGCTGAGGAGCCCTTTGCCCTGGGGCTTGAAAACTACATAGGATTTTGTCAAAGCTATCTGTCTATCATCTATCTATCTATCTATCTATCTATCTATCTATCTATCTATCTATATCTATCTGTATCTATCTATCTATATCTATCTGTATCTATCTATCTATATCTATCTGTATCTATCTATCATCTATCTATATCTATCTGTATCTATCTATCTATCTATCTATCTATCTATCTATCTATCTATCTATCTATCTATGGAGACAGAGAGAAAGACAAGTGTCTCAGAAGGAAGGCAGAGCCTATACCTGCGCGTGAAAGAGGACAGCTTTTGCAGGAGCAGCATTGAAGAGGGGTGGGGAGGGCAGGTGGCGAGCAGAACAGGTGCTAGCGTGGCTGAACAATGGCTGGCTAACAGCAGGGAAGAATGCCGATTTATTTATTTTTTCTTTTTCTTTTTCTTTTTTTTTGTGACGGAATCTCGCTCTGTCGCCCAGGCTAGAGTGCAGTGGTGCCTTGGCTCACTGAAACCTCTGCCTGCCGGGCTCAAGCAATTCTCCTGCCTCAGCCTCCACAGTAGCTGGGATTATAAGGGCCCGCCACCACATCCAGCTAAATTTTGTATTTTTAGTAGAGATGGGGTTTCACTATGTTGGCCAGGCTGGTCTCAAACTCCTGACCTCATGATCCACCCACCTCGGCCTCCCAAAGTGCTGGGATTACAGCTGTGAGCCACCGCGCCCGGCTGCATGTTCATTTTCAACCTAGAGTTTAGGACTTCTATGATTCCCTGGTTGCAGAACCAATAAATCTGTGCCTCATACGTCACCATGGACAAAGCTGGGTTCCTGTAATTTTTGCCGGCTCTCCTTTCCCTCCTGGCAATGATGGAGGGCAGGCTGGTGCCCTCCTCTGGCTCCAGTGAAGGTGCAGAGATGAGGGAGGTTACAGAGGGCTTGCACAGGGGACCAGGGGCTGGGAATTGGGGGAAGGTCACTGGCAGATGTGTTTGCTCAACTCATGCAATGCTTAAGTCTTTTTATTTAGTTAATTTAAAAATTAGGAGATTTCACTCCAAATTCTATGTTCGTCTTCTTTTTAAAAAATTGAGCTGGCCAGGCACAGTAGCTCACACCTGTGATCTCAGCACTTTGGGAGACCCAGGCAGGTGGATCATGAGGTCAGGAGTTCAAGACCAGCTTGGCCAACATAGTGAAATCCATCTCTACTAAAAATACAAAAATTAGCTGGGCCTGGTGGTGTGTGCCTCTAATCCCAGCTACACAAGAGGCCGAGGCTGGAGAATTGCTTGAATCCGGGTGGCAGAGTGAGGCAAGATCAAGCCACTGCACTCCAGCCTGGGCAACAGAGCGAGACTCTGTCTTTAAAAATAAAAAAATCAAGCTGCCAGCACTGGGTGCCCTTGCTGCCTGGCCATGTGAGGCTGCCACTGAACAGCAGGTGACCATGGGAGTCAGGGTTTCCATACCCTATCAGGGCATTCCTGGACCCCCATGCTGGCCCTGTGAGTGCCTGTACCTCTGGCTCCTGCTGTAGACAGCAGAAGTCAGTAACGTGCGCGGGGACACAGCTGGGGGCACCTAAGTGTGCAAGGTGGCAGAAGGCAAGGACAGCCAGGATGCGAGGGACTCTCCACAGCAGTAGGAGGTTCATGGGGCAGGCGGATCCCCTCCCTCTGGGGGCTTTGGGCTCCTGGCACCCTCCTCGTGCTACTGTCATTGTTTCACTGTTAGTATGCTCCTAAATCCCTAAATGGTGTAACCCCGGATAGGACATGGCCAAGACAAAAAGATAGTGCCACATCACGTGCCCTGCGTGAGGTGTGGCCCTCTGGCCTGGCACCCAGGGAGGGAGGCGCTTACCACTGCCTGTCTGCTCTCTCTTCCCAACAGTGCTGTGGAGTTGACTTCGAGGTCAAAGCATTTGCCACAGACAGTGCTGATATCGAAGAGGACAAAATCCCCAAGAAGTAAGGGCATGGTTGCGGAATAGGTGAGGGGTCGGGTGCAGGTGGAGGGAATGGACCGCCCCCACCTTGTCTCTGTGGGACAGAACTCTCCCCACAGGGCTGGCATGGCTGGGGCACCATCTGCGTGTGGGGTAGAGGTCAAAGGTTGATCATTTTGGGAGAAAATAAAAAAAAAAACAAGAAAATGACAGGGAAGGTGGCAACCTCCAGGGCTCCAGGGCTCCAGGGCAAGCCCCTAAAAGCTTCCAGGTTTCCCCTTTTTTTTTGGTTTATTTTTGTGTGTGTGTTTGTGGTAAAATGTACACAACATGAAGTTTGCCATTTTAACCATTTTTTTTCCTGAAACTTTATTTCTTCTAACAGGTATTTTTTGTTTTGTTTTGTTTTTGTTTTTGTTTTTTTAGATGGAATCTTATTCTGTCACCCAGGCTGGAGTGCAGTGGTGCGATCTCGTGTCACTGCAACCTCTGCCTCCTGGGTTCAAGCAATTCTCCTGCCTCAGCCTCCTGAGTAGCTGAGATTAGAGGCATCCCCACCACACAGCTAATGTTTGTATTTTTAGTAGAGACGGTGTTTCACCATGTTGGTCAGGATGGTCTTGAACTCCTGACCTCAAGTGATCCACCTGCCTCGGCCTCAAGTGATCCCAATGTGATGGGATTATAGGCGTCAGCCACCGCACCCAGCCCATTTTAAAACCACTTTTAAATGTACCCTTCAGTGGCTTAAGTACATTCCGAGTGTTGTGTAACCATCACTGATGTCTACACCCAAAACTTCCCCATTGCCCCAAGCAGGAACTCTACCCCCAATCCCTCCCATCCTCCCAGACCCTGGTACTGCTTTCCTGTTTTACCTAAACGAGATTTCTGCCTGGCCTTCACACCGTCCCCTCATGCCCCATGTACACATCTCTGGAGGCTCAGAATAGTCAGCTGCAGTCATGGAGCTCGCTTGTATATGGCGGCTGATCCATGAGGCCCTTGACACCCTCCCATCTCAGCCTGGCTGAGAGGAGGCAGAGTCGGGAACCCATGGAGCCTAAGAGACTACGCTTGGCCCTCAGGACATTGCCTGGCCCCCACACCTGACAAGCTGTGGGATCTCAGAGAAGGGACCAGGAACCAGACCCCCAGGCTCTCCTGCCGTCGGGGCTGCCTCAGGCTCTGCCCAGCATCCTTGCCCTCCTCCCGTCCACCCTGTCTTCGTGGGGAGCGTTCCTGGATCATCCCCGTGTGATGTGGGGACAGAACAGAGGTCTCTGAAGCCATCTGGGTGTGAGTGTCTTGCCTGTCTGTATTGTTCCCTGCAGGAGTTCCGTGAGATTGCTGATCCGCAAAGTACAGCACGCCCCACTTGAGATGGGTCCCCAGCCTCGAGCTGAGGCGGCCTGGCAGTTCTTCATGTCTGACAAGCCCCTGCACCTTTCGGTCTCTCTCAGCAAAGAGGTAACGACCTCCCATCGCTAGTCCTCCCAGAGCAGCGAGCCTGGGAGAGGCCTCACACGCCTCTCTCCACCAGCCCCAGACTCTAACTACATGGGGGTCTTGAGAGGAAGCTTGTTTCTAGAATAGTTAAAGCACCAACATGCTGAAGTTGTGGGCCTGTTTTCACAGCCTGGAGCTGGTCACCATGGTCCTTAGAGAGGGTCGAACTGGCTTTCATTCTACCCACTGGCTGTCCCAAGGGACTGCGGAAGGAAGGGGCAGTGTCTTTCACATACCTGCCCCAGCCATCCTTGCCCTCTCCACCCCATGGGCCTTGTTCACCAGTGGAACACCAGTAGCTGTGGGATCCAAATTCTTCACTTCCTGGGAAATTTAAGTTTCGTGGAAACCACGTGGGATGGTGGTGTCATCTGTGAGATCATCTCTTAGGGGTGTCATGGTGGGAAAAGATGGGAGCTGCTGTCCGAGGCTGACTCTGGTTCCTCTGTTCAGCAGTCAGTGTGTGTGCACTGTGTGTATGTACAGTGTGCAGGTGTGCCCGTGGGGGCTGGGTTACACGGGCTCTGCTGGGCGGGATGCCAGCACTTGGCTTTCCCAGTGGTTTCCTTTCACTTCACTTGTCCTGCCTCCAGAACCCCCTGACCCCTGTCCTCCTCTGATGTGACTGACATTCAGAACTCCAATCCCCTCCCCAGCTTCCCACAGGTGGGCAGAACGTGTTTCAGGCCCTTCCTCAGAAGAGACGTATGGCTGTCACTTCATCTGCCTTAAATCCCCCCGCTTTTATTCTAGTGAAAGGGATTGAGATGAATCTAGAAAGCTGTGAGATTAAAGACACCACCACAGCTGTTCTCCTGACCTGTCTGCTGCCTTTTCCAGATCTATTTCCATGGGGAGCCCATCCCTGTGACCGTGACTGTCACCAACAACACGGAGAAGACAGTGAAGAAGATTAAAGCATTCGGTAGGACCTTCTTCTCAAAAGTAGAGGGCAGAGTCTCCTAGAATTTCTGATCCTGTTTCTGGGGGGGGGGGGGTCACTTCTCTGGTCTGATAAGGCCCTTCTGGGTCCTTGGAACTGGCTGCTTGTCTCTGCTATGATAGGCAGCAGGACTGCAGAGGAAGAAAGACCTTCCCCGTTTTCTCATTCAGCTTCCTGCTCACTTAGGCTGGCTCTTGTCATGGAACAAAATTCCTGACAAGTGATCTCTTTCCATGGTCATGCCTTCCTGCAGGGGCCCACAGTCATCATCGTGTGGACAGGTGCCACACAGTGTCATGGGTCAGGCCTAATTTGTGGGCTCATGCTGTGGGCTCTGCAGTCCCAGCTGGCATCCGCAGCAGGGGCTCCTCATCTGTCCTCCAAGGCTTTGTGAGGCTCTAAGGAGAGGTTCCATGTGGAAGCGCTTTGTAAATGGTGCAGTGTGACTGTCCCACCTCCAGCGGCCATCATGTCTGGCCGACATTGCCATCCCCTGCAGGGAAGGCGCCTCCTGCCTGCTGTTCCCAGATGCTTCCTCAGCTCAAAGGGCGTCAAAGCACAGGGATCTTAGATGATGGTCTTGTGTGGCTCTTTCATGAGAAAGACATGATGGAATAACCTGTGAGGGTAACCTCTAAATTCAATTTTTAACTTAAACATTCGATGACCAAGACAGTTAGACTTACACATCTTGGGGTGACTAACTGTCCAGGTGGTCCAGGACTGAGGACATGGAGCTTCCAGTCCTAAAATGGGCGATCCCAGGCAAGCCAGGGTGAGCAGTGGGCCTGGGTGTCATATACCACTTTTCTCTTTCCCTGTGAGTCCATCAGAGAGGAGGTTCAGAGATTCCGATATGCGCCGGGCACAGTGGCTCACGCCTGTAATCCCAGCACTCTGGGAGGCCGAGGCAGGCAGATCATCTGAAGCCAGGAGTTCGAGATCAGCCTAGCCAACATGGTGAAACCCTGTCTCTACTAAAACTACAAAAATTAGCCGGGCATGGTGGCGGGTACCTGTAATCCCAGCTACTCGGGAGGCTGAGGCAGGAGAATCGCTTGAACCCAGGAGGCAGAGGTGGCAGTGAGCCAAGATGGCACCATTGCACTCCAGCCTGGGCAACAAGAATGAGACTCTGTCTCAAAAAAAAAAAAGCGCAGCCTTGAAGCCAAGGGCTGAGAAAGCCAAGCCTGGGAAGTGGAGGGAAACCATCATCAGGGAGGCGAGAGCAATGTGTTTCCTGGGAGGTCGCAGGGAACGTGCATGTGGGGGCGGGGGACCAGCGCTGACCACCTGACTCCTGTCTTCCCTTGCAGTGGAACAGGTGGCCAATGTGGTTCTCTACTCGAGTGACTATTACGTCAAGCCTGTGGCCATGGAGGAAGCACAGTGAGTAGCTTGTTGGGTTTCCGTTTCCTGGGAGGCTCAGCCCTCCGTGTCACGTTCCTCACCGTTTATTGCTGAAGAGGGAACTAGAATGTTCAGCTAGCCTGCCAGCCTACCACTTCCTTCCTCTTTCTCCCTTCGAGGGCTGCACAGAAAGTTAGCATCTCAGCTCTGCGTCTACCACACCCCTCCCTGCCGGTCTCACAGGAGTTCTGAGGATTCATCCAAGCTAAAGAATGATGCAGAGGAGGAAATAAAGACAGAGATGTCACCATGGGATCCTCTGGCCTTTTCTACTTATCCTCGGAATGAATTGTTAGGAATTTGATCCGATTCCCACCTTCCAGAAGATGGTCAAATGAACTGTCAACCCAGGCTGGGATTCCCTGATCTCAAATTGAAAATCTGATACCAGTGACAGCTGGGTTAGAATGTACCCATTCTTAGCTGGTTGTTGTGAATGACTTTCGCCCCTTTGTTAGAACAAAAAAGAAATGAGAATCCTGCCATAGCTCCTTCATGCTGGCCTGAGAGACCCGCCCAGCTTTGCTGTGTGCCACAAAGTCAGATAGACTCATTCAATACATGGCTTGGGGTGGGGGGCGATGACCCCCTATCCCCCACCTCCAGCCCCCCAAGAGGATAGCTTGAGCAGGTCTTTCCTCTTTGCCTTGCTGGCATGTTCTAAGCAACATTGTATGTAAAACATATTAGCACGGTTAGAGGAAGGTTGGGGTAGGGGAGTGATGAAGGACAAACTGGTTCTTTAAGATAATATAAGGGAATAGATATATATTTTTTTGAGATGGAGCCTTACTCTGTTGCCCAGGCTAGAGTGCAGTGGTGAGGTCTCAGCTCCCTGCAACCTCCACCTCCCAGGTTCAAGCCATTCTCCTGCCTCAGCCTCCCAAGTAGCTGGGATTACAGGCACCTGCTACCATGCCTGGCTAATTTTGTCTTTTTAGTAGAGACTGGGTTTCACCTGTTGGCCAGGCTGGTCTCAAATGCCTGACCTCAGGTGATCCACCTGCCTCAGCCTCCAAAAGTGCTGGAATTACAGCTGTGAACCACCGCACCCAGCCTATATGGTAATATTTAACCAGAAACGTTAGGAGAAACTATTACTGTTACTCAAAACAGATTCAACCTTAAGTTGAAACACAGGTCTATGAGGGAGGAAAACAGGAAAGAACTGCCACGTGTTATCTCCTCTCCGCCAAGCCTGGGCTGCGTTCAGCCTTTAGGGCATCCTCGCACGTCCCTGTGCCTGGGGGTCTTGGCCCCGGTTCATCTTTCCACATATGCTCAGCAACATGGGAGCAAAGGGTCCTGGCCGAGCTTTCCCCTAATGTATATTCCATCACTTTCATTTCTTCTTCTTTTATTTATTTATTTATTATCCTGTTACCTCCAGTAATGGGTATAAGCAAACTTGGTCCTCTTTCAAAGTGTTGGGTGCGTTTGGGGTCAATGATGCTCAGGAAACTGGAAAGCATCTCAAAGGCCCCCAGAGGCTGGAGGAGCCTGGGAGCTGGACTGAACACCTGACAAGTCTCAGGCTAGAGGCCACTGAGAAAGCTGCAGAGCAGGAACCATCGTCCCTGAACCCTGTGGCTTCTGGGGCTTTGGTGGGCAGGCTTCCATGGAACCAGGTCAGGCCTGACTCCCAAGCTGTCCCCACCATTCACACCCACACCCTGAAGCTCTGGGAACTGGCCCCAGGGCCTTAGCATAGTCCTTTGGCAAGCTCTGCACAAGAAAAAAGGCCATCCTCTGAGCCCAGCTCTTCCTATGTCAGTCATCTTCACAATGTTTCTGCTTTTCTCAATGCCCAAATTATGCTCGTAAGGAGACGTTCCACCAGGACCCAGATGGGAGAATGCGGCCACCTTGGGCTCTGGCAGATTTCTGTGAAGAGCTTCCTGTAGACACTGGAGGCAGGATAGGGGGCAGCTGCTTTTACCTATCCAGAGTAACTTGATTAGGGAGGGGAAGTCCTTTCCCAGAGAGGCAGTTCGGACTTCCAGCTGTCTCAGGACAGCCTTAGAATGGTCCTGATGCTAGCCATACCCCACCTGCTTCTGGCCAGGCACAGGATGAGGGCGTGCTTCTGGCATGAATGGGCTCTGTTGTCCGAGAGTGTGCAGCCATACGACCGTGGGTACACTTCCTGTCTGGAAAATGGGGATCTTGGGAGAACCTTCTTGGTATGGGGTTGATGAGGGTAAGGCGAGAGTTTTTGAGGACAGGCCTTAGCACCAGGCCTGGCACACAGCACGTGAGTGAACAGAAGAGCCAACTCTCCAGCCTCAGAGCCTGCTTCATGGCCCTGGCCATGCTGCCATGTGTCTGCCTGGAGAATTACATGCTGCTGTGTCCCCAGCTTGATTCCCAGACCCACCCATTGGCACAGGGTCCCTGCCATCTGTCAGATGTTGAGAAATCTACAGCCTGACTAATGATGAAGAAGATCCAGTAGAGAAAAAGCATGTGCTGCTTTAGACCCAAGCTAGTCGGTCTGTGTGAGCCACAAATAGTGGGTCGCTGCATTGCCCCTCTAGACAACTTACCACACAGTCATACTGTTATCCCCTTATAGGGACAGTTTTTGGTAACAAGAACCTTCCTGGCCTGGGCTTGTTGCTGACGCTAACCAGAAGGTTCCGCAGGCCACCGGATGGTTCAGAGTCTCAGGAGGAAACTGTGGTTTCTGACTGTCAGGCCAGGTGGTCTCATTAACTCCAGAGAACATTCTAGAAATTCAGCAATTTAGAATAGGCTGAGTTGCTTGAAGAAATATCCTCCTGTTGCTGCCAGCCCACCCTGAGCTTTCACAAGCACTGCTCTGCTTCTCAAAAGGCAAGTTCTGATCTTCCCAGGAGGTCCATCAGGGATGTTGATCCTGGAAAATGCCTAATGGCACGTTGGGGCTCATGGGGCCCATGGCAGCTCTTTTGGTTATAAATCTCCTCTGTTCTTCCTCTAGAGAGAAAGTGCCACCAAACAGCAGTTTGACCAAGACGCTGACCCTGCTGCCCTTGCTGGCCAACAACCGAGAAAGGAGAGGCATTGCCCTGGATGGGAAGATCAAGCACGAGGACACGAACCTTGCCTCTAGCACCATGTGAGTCCTCGAGGCTCAGGGAGTAAGTGTTGGCAGCGTGGGCCAGCGCCGGCCTGCTCCCCTTCACGTCACCTTGCTGGGCTCACAGGCACGCACATGCAGCATGGGGGCCTGGTGTGTGTAGTACAGAGTGCACACGAAGGGGTCCAAACAAGGATTCCACTCTCACCCCTGGTGTGATGTGAGGGTCACACCGTGGGCCCTGGAGACAGCTGTGCACTAACCCCAGCTCTGCTGCTGGCCCTGGGAAAATGCCTTGAGTTCCCGAGAACCTCAGTTTTCCTGTCTGTAAAGTGTAAAGATAACAGTTCAAGTCTCACAGAGTGGCTTTGAGGATTCAGTGAGACAATCCATGTAAAGCGTGGGGCCTGGGAGGCAGTGACTGCTCTAGGGATGTCAGCTACTGCTTTCTGAAGCATCACTAGCCAGTGGAATGCCCTAAGCATGTAAACTGAGTAATGCTCTTGGCTGTATTCATTCACTCATTCATTCATCCATTTCCATCAGGAAATGTGAAGAACAGGAGGTCCTAAAGACTTTAGATATCCATTGAATTTAAATGATATTAAGTACTGATCTGCTGACTCTGACTCAAAGGACCACTGGCTGAATTTGGGCAGCAGATCTAGCAAAGACTGTACAGTGAAGTTCCAAAGTCAGCGTCTGCTGTCCTTCCGAGCCATGTTTTCGGGCTTCCCTTCCCGGGAGTGTGTCTGTTGGTGAACTCTGAGAGTTTTGGGTTGGAGCCAAAACCTAGGCTCAAGGCCCACTCACTGGCACCTCCCCATGTGATGTGCTGGGGGTTCCCTCTGGGGCCCCAGTGGACCACCTCCAAGGTGATGCCAATAGCCAGGAGGCTGGAGTGTTTGACTCCATGACCCTGACGCTCAGTAGCTCACCCTCTGAGACCAAGAGTGAGGAACAGTGAACAATTAGCAGACAGCAGGAGGAGTCAAAGGATTTTTCTGAGGATAATCGGCCAAGTTGTTGTGTTAGATTCTAGAGCACATTCGTGAAGCTCTGGGAGAGAGCATGTCAGGGAAACTGAGGGCCTAGATCAACGTATTCGAGGGCATAGGAATTATATGAATGATGATGGTGTCCCACACTGCGGGAATGTTCCATTGTGTGTGGACTAGTTTCTAAATATGTTCTACTCTCCAGCCCTCTATGAGGAAGGTGTTTTTATATGCATTTTATGGATAAGGAAATTGAGCTTGAGCCAGAATGAAAGACTATCCAAGGACACTGAATCAGTTAATAGCAGAGCAAAGTCCACTCCACAGCAAATCTCCCAGCTCAGGAAGCTGCCAAGGGACAAAGATTGCAGGGTGTCCTCAGGCATGTGGCAGAGCATGTTCCGTTCACCAGCTGCTCGGCCCCATCAGTGCAAGGTAGAGTGAATCCCAGCGGGGGGCAGTGGCTCACACCTGTGATCCCAGCACTTTGGAAGGCCAAGGCGGGCAGATCGCTTGAACCCAGGAGTTTGAGACCAGCCTAGGCAACATGGTGAAACCCCATCTTCACAAAAAATTAAAACATTAGCCAGGCATGGTGGCACATGCCTGTAGTCCCAGCTATTTGAGAAGCTGAGATGGGAGGATTGCTTTAGCCCAAGACGTTGAGGCTGGAGTGACCTATGATTGTGCCATTGCACTCCAGTCTGGGCAATAAAATGAGACCCTGTCTCAAAAAAAAAAAAAAAAAGTCAATCCCAGCAGTGGGGGCATCTCAAGCTTATACTCCTTTTTTCCCTTTGGAGGCATCTTCTCTTCACCAGGTTCTTGGCCACATTCTGCAAGTCCAGATATCCTGTCCTCTTTTTTAAAAAATATTTTTATATTTTTTGAGACAAGATCTCACTCTGTCACCCAGGCTGGAGTGCAGTGGCGTGATCTTGGCTCCCTGCAACCTCCGCCTCCTGGGTTCAATCAATTCTCCTGGCTCAGCCTCCTGAGTAGCTGGGATTAGAGGCTTCCGCCACCACACCTGGCAAATGTACTTTTAGTAGAGATGGAGTTTCGCCATGTTGTCCAGGCTGGTTTCGAACTTCCTGAACTCAAGCGATCTGCCTGCCTTGGTCTCCCAAAGTGCTGGGATTAAAGGTGTGAGCCACTGTGCCTGGCTATTCTGTCCTCTTTTTTTTTTTTTTTTTTCTGAGACAAAGTTGCGTGCTTGTTGCCCAGGCTGGAGTGTAATGGCATGATCTCAGCTCATTGCAACCTCCCCCTTCTGGGTTCAAGCAATTCTCCTTCCTCAGCCTCCCAAGTAGCTGGGATTGCAGGCATATGCTGTCACATCCAGCTAATGTTGTCTTTTTAGTGGAGATGGGGTTTCTCCATATTGGTCAGGCTGGATTTGAACTCCCAACCTCAGGTGATCTGCTCTCCTCGGCCTCCAAAGTGCTGGGATTAAAGGTGTGAGCCACCATGCCCGACTGTTCTATCCTCTTTTAAAGGAGCTCCAGACATCAATGAGCCAAAGGAGCTCTCTAGGGAGCACTGTGTCCTGGAAACATGTGCCTGAGACACCTCCCCTCAGAGGCTCCCGGGCTGATGTCTTCTTCCAGGCTCAGCACCTGCTGGCCACCGCCCCAACTCCTTTTCCAGAGCTGTTCCACCCTTCCCTGCCTTCTGCCCGTAGCCTTCAGATTTCTTGGGCCTGTTTTCTATCATTATTCACATGATTTTTGTTAGCATTTCATGATTTTTTTCATACCTTAATTCCTGTTATTGGACGTCCTGGCATACTGCTTTGGTCTTCTGCTTTGGATCACACATGATAAGCATCTGTGTTGAAATGCCCAGCATGGTGCCTGCCAGATCTGGAATGATGTTTCTGTCAAGGAACGTCATATTGCACTGTCTTTGGGGACACATCTGAGACTGTCACACATCCCGCTCATTCCCTTAAACACTGACAGCTCTCACTTGGTGGCAGGCCTGATGCTGGGTGCTGGGCACACATGGCTGGATATCTTGGAAGGCAGGAGAAAAGGAGGGGGCATTCTGGAGCTGGGTTGTGTTGGCAAGTCTGGTGCAGGGACACTGTGACACAGTTGGGGATGAAGTAGCAAAGCCAGGCTGGGGCAGCTCATGGGTGGCTTCTGAGGCTGAACCTGCAGGTGGCCGTGGAGCTCAGAGAAGGGGCCTAGCATGTGAGAGATGAGTTGATGAGATAATCCAGGCAGGCAGAGCCTGCAGGAGGACTTGGGGGCTTGCAGAGATGGCAAGTTTTGGCAGGTGGCAGGAGGGAGGAACCGAGAAGGATGACTGGGGATGTACGTTTGCAGAGGTTGTGCACAGAGAAGGGGGTGCATGCTCTGCCCTATGGGAAATTGCAGAGGAGAAGACACAGGAATTCCTCCAGTGCATGCAAGGAATCCCTACACCCATTCCCCAGGTATGCAAACTTCTAGGACTTCGGCAGCTCAGTGAGTTCTCCAGGGACTGGAGAACCTCCAAGATGGTGTGTCTGCCTGGATCGGAAGGGCTGCCCACCTGCTCTTCACCCTCCTCTGCTCTCCATCATCCTTCTCCTTTTCCTTTCTGTTTGGGCAGCATTAAGGAGGGCATAGACCGGACCGTCCTGGGGATTCTGGTGTCTTACCAGATCAAGGTGAAGCTCACGGTGTCAGGGTAAGTGTCCCGGTACCAACCCTCGGACTGCTCTGTCCTGGTCCTAGATGGTCTGAACTGTTCCTTTCCTGAATGACAGGGCGACAGAATGCAAGGAAAGGCCCACAGCTTCCACTGGATCACCAAGTAGAGCTTGGGAGAGGTTCTGTTTGTCTAGTACCACGCTTCTGTCCAAGGAAATGTCAGGTGGGAAGGGATGGAGCAGACTCTGACATGGGTGCACACTTAGTGACACTTTGCAAAATACGTGTGCATATGTGCATGTGGTGGAAATTGATGTGCTAGAGTGAAGATTAGTCAAATGTTATCCTTCAGAAAAGAGAAACTGCTGTGAAATAACTCAGCAAATCTCCATGTACTTGCATCTTAGAAGGTATCCCTCCATCAAGTGGGGACTTTCCCTTCCCTTCTCACACTCATAATCACAGGGCATAGGAGACTCCTTTTCATCCAAGAAGGCCAGTACCTGAATTTTAAGGAAATGGGTCTCCGCTTTTATTTTCATGTGAAGCCAATTTCTTCCATTTGTTTAATCTTACCAAAAGGGGATAAGTTGAGTTCTCATTTTTGTTTCAAATTTCAGTGTCAAAGGCTCTGGCTTGTTACCTGGATGAGCCTTGGGGTAGTTTTGCCGTCAAAGGCAAGTCTGTGTCTTGGTTTCATATTTCTAAGTAGTAAACCCTCGAGTAAAATAAGGGTTAAAAAAAAAAAGTTTCCCAAATTTCTAACAAAGTAGAACATGAGTCTGGTTTGCATTTTTGTTAGCGCAGTGTTTGTTTTATTTTTCACAGTGGATTCTCCATAAAAGGATCTAAAAACAGGATGGAGTTTCTTTAAGCAGTCAAGAAAAGTGACCAGCAAGTATTTCACAATGACTGCTCTGACTTACCTTGAATGTTAGGGCTTGACTTTTTTTTAAATTTGTTTTGAGATGGAGTCTCACTCTGCTACCCAGGCTGGAGCGCAGTGGTGCAATCTCAGCTCACTGCAATGTCCGCCTCCTGGGTTCAAGTAATTCTCCTGCCGCAACCTCCAAGGTAGCTGGGATTACAGGTGCCTGCTACCATGCCTGGCTAATTTTGGTATTTTTAGTAGAGACGGGGTTTCACCACATTGGCCAGGCTGGTCTCCATCTCCTGACCTCAATCGATCCACCAGTCTTGGCCCCCGAAAGTGCTGGGATTATAGGCATGATCCACCGCACCTGGCTTTTTTTCAACTAATCATCTTGAGAAAGAGATGATGTCACAGGTAGAGGAGAGGAATGAAGTGGAACATTAAGGGATGCAAAGACCCTGGAGGTTGTGAGTTAGGGTGTGAGGACCATGACAGCAAGGTTGTGTCCTGCCTCCAAATCATGGGAGAGGGTTGCATTACCGCTGTGACACTTACCACAGGCATCTGTTTTGTGTTTCCTAGCTTTCTGGGAGAGCTCACCTCCAGGTAAGCCTGTTCACCTTCCTTCTTTGCTCGTTTCTCAAAATATCAAAGGCAGAAAATCTGGGGCTCCAGAACGGTTTCTGGTAAAAGCTGCTTTCTGGGCAGTTGTGCTCAGAGGTGCTAGGAATGACACTTTGCCTTCAGATGCATCACAGAACCGTGGCTCACAGGCATTTCTTTGGGACCACAGCAAGGCCTACGCCTGGGTAAGGACACACACATATGCACCCAGAAAACTGGCACACTCCATGTGGCCAGCTTGTGTGTGTGTGTGGTAAAAAACACATAACATAAATTTTACCCTTATATTTGTTTATTTATTTATTTATTCATAGATGGAATCTCACTCTGTCACCCAGGCTGGAGTGCAGTGGTAGTATCTTGGCTCACTGCAACCTTTTGAGGCAGTGGTCCTCCTGCCTCAGTCTCCTGAGTAGCTGGGATTACAAGTGTGTGGCATGACACCTGGCTAATTTTTGTAGACAGGGTTTCACGATGTTGGCCAGACTGGTCTTAAACTCCTGACCTCCAGTGATCCTCCTGCCTTGGCCTCCCAAAGTGCTGGGACTACAGGTATGAGCCACCATACCTGGCATAAATTTTACCATTTTAACCATTTTATTTTATTTTATTTTTTGAGATGGAGTCTTGCTCTGTTGCCCAAGCTGGAGTGCAGTGGCATGATCATGGCTCACTGCAACCTCTGCCTCCTGGGTTCAAGTGATTATTCTCTTGCCTCAGCCTCCCAAGTAGCTGAGATTACAGGCACATGCCACTATGCCTGACTAATTTTGTAATTTTAGTAGAGATGGGTTTTTATCATGTTACCCAGGCTAGTCTTGAACTCCTTACCTTAAATGATCCACCTGCCTTGGCCTCCCAAAGTGCGAGGATTACAGGTGCGAGCCACTGCGCCTGGCCTTCACCATTTTAAAGTGCACAATTTGGTGACATTATGTTTATGCTCTCATGCAACCATCACCACTATGTAGTTCCAGAACATTTTTATCACCCGAAAAGGAAATCTCATCCGCATTAAGTAGTCACTCTCATTTCCCCTCTCTATAGTCCCTGGCGTAACTGCTAATCTGTTTCTATCTCTGTAGATTTGTCTGTTCTGGATATTGTGTGTAAATGGATTCATACAATATGTGGCCTTTTGTTACTGGTTTCTTTCACTTAGCGTAGTGCTATTAGCATAAGGCGTATCCATGTTGCAGCACGTACTAGTACTTCATTCCCTTTTATGGCTCAGTAATATTCCACTGCATGGATATACCACATTTTGTTTATCCCATTCAACTGTTGATGGACATTTGGGTTGTCTCTACCTTTTGCTATGGCAAATAGTGATGGCTGCCTTTTAAATTATGCACAAAAAAGCGGCAAGTTAAGAAATGTTTGAGATAGGCATTGAGCTTATGTCCCCCATCATCCCAACTCTTCTCATCTCCTTCCCTCACCTGGAGCCCAGGTTCCGCCTTTACTTTTAGACCTAGCTGCTCCTGGGTCTGATGAGGGTGCTTCATTGTAAAAAGAGGTGCTTGGTCTGGAGGTAAGCCTTGGGTAGAAGGCCTTGGGTCCTGGGTGAAGTGAGGAGTAACTGGTTTTTTCATCTCCTCTCCCCACCTTTCTATCTGTCCTTTCTCTAAATTTCCCTTTTACTTCCTTCCTTTGTTTTTGTTTTTTTGTTTTTATTTTTCAAACAGAGTCTCGCTTTATTGCCCAGGCTGGAGTGCAGTGTTGCAATCTCGGCTCACTACACCCTCCCCTTCCCTGGTTCAAGCGATTCTCCTGTCTCAGCCTCCTGAGTAGCTAGGATTACAGGCATGCATCACCACACCTGGCTAATTTTTGTATTTTTATTAGAGACAGGATTTCACCATATTGGTCAGGCTGGTTTCAAACTCCTGATCTCAGCTGAGCCACCGCACCTGGCCCTTCCTTCGTTTTATATAAATTCCAAGGCCGGGCATGGTAGCTCATACCTGTAATCCCAGCACTTTGAGAGGCTGAAGTGGGAGGATCACTTGAGGTCAGGAGTTTGAGACCAGCCTGACCAACATGGTGAAACCCTGTCTCTACTAAAAACACAAAAATTAGCTGGCGGTGGTGGCTCATGCCTATAATCCCAGCTACTCAGGAGACTGAAGCAGGAGAATTGCTTGCATCTGGGAAGCGAAGGTAAGCTAAGATCATGCCATTGCATTCCAGCCTGGGCAATAAGAGTGAGATTCTGTCTCAAAAAAAAAAAAGAAGTTTGTTTACACTGTGTTAAAAAAAAATCCAAGTCACCCCACAGTCCTTTAGCTTTTGGAATTCAGTGGACCCTGCTCATCTCCGTTCTGCCCTATAGCAAGAGCTTGCGCCCAACCAGCAACATACCAGCCTTGCAGAAATTTTAACATATTAAACATGGTGTACATTGTTGCGAAGAATGTATTTTAAAAATCCTTTCTCCAGGATTTCACCTCTTCTCCACCCCCAATATCATGGTACCTACTAAATAGGAGTAAGGGAAACCTAACTAGACTAGCTGCCTTCGCCACGCATGTGGAAGGGAAGTGACCAGAATACCTTCACAATTTCTGCTTGATCATTTCTGTTTTGTTTTGTTTTAAATCCCACTGCAAGCTGGGCATGGTGGCTCACACCTGTAATCCCAGCGCTTTGGGAGGCCTAGGCAGGTGGATCACCTGAGGTCAGGAGTTCGAGACCAGCCTGACCAATGTGGTGAAATCCCATCTCTACTTTTTAAAAATACAAAAATTAGCCAGGCATGATGACATGCGTTTGTAGTCCCAGCTGCTTGGGAGGCTGAGACAGGAGAATTGCTTGAACCTGGAAGGTGGAGGTTGCAGTGAGCCAAGATTGCGCCACTGCACTCCAGCCTGAGCGACAGAGCGAGACTCTCATCTTTCAAAAAATAATAAAATAAAATAGTACTGCATTGTCTTTCATCTCGAACCTGGGGATCTTTTGTGATCTCCGCAGCCATAGGTCTTTGCTGGTTATTTATAAAAGTGTGTGTGTGTGTGTGTGTGTGTGTGTGTGTGTGTGTGTGTGTGTTCTCACCAATCTTCATTCTTTTTTTTCTAGTGAAGTTGCCACTGAGGTCCCATTCCGCCTCATGCACCCTCAGCCTGAGGACCCAGGTCAGTTACGTCCGTTTTTGCCTTTCTTTAGTTATTTACTGCTTGCAGATTTATTATTGATTTATTTCTAGTCTTTCTTGACCATACCTCAGAGCATGGGAGTGGCCAGGTATAAGAGATTCCATGTCATCTACAAGGTGAATAGTCTGGTGGGAAGGGAGAGCCTGTCTGTTTAGTGCTGAGCCAGGTAGTTTATTCACCTTCAGCTGGAGTCGGCAAGACGTAGAATCCTTGCTCCTGGACAGCGACAATCTCCTTAGGTTTTATCAAGAACGATTTAAAAGCAGAAGCTCTGCTGTCAACAGACCTGGATTTAGACTTAAAAATGATTTAGGTGAAAACTTAATCAGAGAGCACGAGGCTTTTGCATTTCATTTGGAAACGAAAGGCTTCACGTTTCATTTGAGAGCATAACAGGCATTGAAAAGAAGGTAATATTTTTTTTGAGACGGAGTCTCACTCTGTCACCCAGTCTTCTGGAGTGCAGTGGCATGATCGAGCTCACTGCAGCTCCTGGGCTCACAGCATCCTCCTACCTCAGCCTCGGAAGTAGCTGGAACTACGGGCATGCCACCACCCTCAGCTAATTTTTTTGATTTTTAGTATCTTGCCATGTTGCTCAGGCTAGTCTTGAACTCCTGAGCTCAAGTGATTGTCTGACCTCATCTTCCCAATGTGCTGGGATTACAAGTGTGAGCCACCACACTTGGATGAAGATAACTGTTTTTTGTTTGCTTGTTTGTTTTTTAGAGATGGAGTCTCACTCTGTCACAATCTCGGCTCACTACAACCTCTGTCTCCTGGGTTCAAGTGGTTCTCGTACCTCAGCCTCCCAAATAGCTGGCATTACAGGTGCCCACCACCACACCAGGCTAATTTTTGTATTTTTAGTAGTGAAGGGCTTTCACCATATTGGCCAGGCTGGTTTTGAACTCCTGACCTCAGCTGATCCACTGCTTCAGCCTCCCAAAGTGCTGGGATTACAGGCATGAGACACTGCACCCCGCCTGAAGATAACTATTTTTGACAGTGGCAGTTATGGTAAGAATACAGAAAATACTAGAAAAGAGGATCGGGCTGGGTTCCTGACACCTGAGCTCATTTAAATTGTGAATCTACTGGCTCTTGTATGGATGCGACATGAGGCAATAGTTGTATGACTCTGAGAACATACTAGAAACCACTAGACTGTTCCCTGTGAAAAGGTAAATTGTGTGGTATATGAATTTGATCTGAATCACTCTCTTTCTAAAAAGATAAATAAAACAGCAAAAATAATATAGGTGCAATCTCAGAAATTCTGAAGAAACATTCTCTTTGTGTGAAGGCAGCTTAGTTGATAGGAAAGGAAAAGAGATCTGTCTAAAGGAGAACTCTCCACAGGTACAGGAATAAGGACTATTTTAAGTGAAAGCAGTAAACAAGCAGGGTTTGTTTTTCTCAGACTTTACAGATAGCTTTTCTGTACTGATAGTGAGATGCCATTTAAACATTAGAACGAGAGCCGCTCCCATTCATTTTAGGTTTTGTCTCAACAGTACTTTGTTTCAAAGTAGTTTTTCCAGATATTTTGGATTCAGATCCTCAGTGAACTTTTCCAAAACTGTTTGTTCCTTAGAGAAAAATGTAGTATAGCTCTATGTTTTCAATTCATTTATGCTTGTGTCATTAAAATACTGCTTTTTAACAGTGTGAGATTAAGATGCTTTCTGATTACTTTCAAGGACATTAAAAAGACAGTCACCCGAGGAGATGTCACAGTTTATATTGGGTTGTTTTCTGGGACTTTGAGTAGACTTTATGACTTAATTATTATTATTGAGACAGAGTCTCACTCTGTCACCCTAGCTAGAGCACAGTGGCACATTCTTGGTTCAGTGCAACCTCCACCTCCCGAGTTCAAGTGATTCTCGTGCCCCAGCCTCTGAGTAGCTGGGATTACAGGCACACACCACCACGCCCAGCTAATTTTGTATTTTCAGTAGAGATGGGGTTTTGCCATGTTGGCCAGGCTAGTCTCAAACTCCTGGCCTCACGTGATCTGCCCACTTCAGCCCCTCAAAGTGCTTGGATTATAGGCAGGAGCCACCATGCCCGGCCTGACTTCCTTTTTAAAAACTCTTTCTCCGTATACAGCTTTCACGTTCCGGCCATTATGGCCTTAACAGTGAACACATCACAGTGTCAGGATGAAACAATGATCTTTTGTACTATGAGATTTCTGGGAGCAAAGGTTAAGACAAATCACCTCATGGTTGCACAATTCTGATTTCTAGAGATAGATGAGTCACCAAATGTCATCTCTCCTGTCTTCTCTGCCTAGTCCTCAGCTCCCTGAGTCTAGGCTGGTAAGATTCTAAGCAGAGAAAGCATGAGCTGTATGGAGTTAGCCCTGCTGGAGCCTGGGGGCCAAGTAATTGCTGTGTAATAAGTGCCATGACATGCTACCAAGCTTTTATTGTTCCCTGTCGAGAGCCTCTGTGCTGAACCAGAAGATGCTGATTTGATTCTTCCTTGTTGCCTACCTCATCAAGGCTGATGGTCCCACTTAGTGTAGTTTTCTTGCTTGGCACTGTGGGCTGAAGGGTATTTCTTGCCCAGGGGATGTTTTGACAAGCTAGCCTCTCTGGGGCCCTGTATGTAGCGACTCTCATAGATACTCCCTCCCAGTGCTGGCTGCCAGCTGGGCACCAGAGACGAAAGCAGGGGCTCACCATCAAATCTCCACTGTGCTTCCTAAAACTAGGTGGGCAGAAAGCTGAAAAAAAAAAAAAAAAGGACAAAAAAACATTCAAATGAATAGCAATTATTCTGGGGATATAAAACGTAAAAACGCAACAACAAGATCGATGTGTTAACAGAAATGGAAAACTGTGTGGCTGGGATTGGTCCTCAGCTTTAATGCACCCCCTAACCCTGGGGTGCTGGTGAATGTCAAGTCCCAGGTCTCAGCCCTCTGAAGCCTGACAGATGGAGGTGGGCAGGGTGCACATGCTCACGGCACCCTGGCAACTCTGACCTTGATGGTATCCAGAGGACATGGAAGGAGGAATACTTTGAAAGGAGAAGCAACTGGCCGGGTGCAGTGGCTCATGCCTATAATCCTAGCACTTTTGGAGGCTGAGGCAGGTGGATCACTTAAGGTCAGGAGTTCGAGACCAGCCTGGCCAATGTAATAAAACCCCATTTCTACTAAAAATATAGAAATTAACCAAACATGGTGGTAGGCGCCTATAATGCCAGCTATTTAGGAGGCTGAGGCAGGAGAATCGCTTGAACCCAGGAGGTGGTGGTTGCAGTGAGCCGAGATTGCACCATTTCACTCCTGCCTGGGCAATAGAGTGAGACTCCATTTCAAAAACTAAATAAATAAAAAATAAGAAAGGAGAAGCGACATGAAAGGGGGCAGGGCTGATCAGGGAAAGCATCCTAGAGGTGAGACTGAGGGGGATTCATTTGAGGAGGTGAGGGTTGTGGCACATTGTGAAGGAAGCAGTGGTTTAAAATGCAAGGAGAGGCCAGGCATGGTGGTGCATGCCTGTAATCCCAGCCCTTGGGAGGCTGAGGTGGGCAGATCACTTGAGGTCAGGAGTTTGAGATCAGCCTGGGCAACATGGTTGAAGCCAGGTCTCTACTAAAAATACAAAAATTAGCCAGGCCTAATGGCGAATGCTTGTAAGCCCTGCTACTCGGGAGGCTGAGGCATGAGAATGTCTTGAAACCAGGAGGCAAAGGTTGCAATGAGCAGAGATCATGCCACTGCATTCCAGCCTGGGTGAGAGAGCGAAACTTGGTCTCAAAAATAAAATAAAATGCAAGGAGAAAAGCTGCTGAAGCGGAAAAGGCAGGGAGGCAGGAAGTACATGCAGTGGTCTTGAATTACTTATATCTAAGCCTTCTCTCTCAAACTGTAACGTCACCTAAAAGGTAGACATTTTCTAGGTACAGCTTTGATACAGAATTTATACTAACAGATCTCTCTCTCTCTCTCTCTCTCTCTCTTTCTCTTTCTCTCTCTTTCTCTCTGTCCTCCTCTCCCTCCCCCCCTCCTCCCTTTTATTTCATGCTTACAGCTAAGGACAGGTGAATGAGCCTTTTGAATGTGGCCCTGATTTGCCCTGTGTCCTGGGACCTTGACCTCCAGCACAGACCCCTCTTTGAGTCTCTGCGCATATCCCAAGCTCTCAGCCAGCTCAGGAGGCATATCCGCTACTTCCCTTCCACTCCCTAGTGCTGAAGGCACACGCATTCCATTACACTGAGTGTGCTTGCTCACTCTGCACGTGCAGAGTTTTCTCCCATTGGTGCTAGTTAAAGGACCTTTAAACGAAGCCATGAGGAAAATGGCGTGCTCCCATGTTCTGTCATGGGGAAAACCTTGATCAGTTCCTTTGTTGCAAAAAGAGCAAGGATCTTGTTCCAGTTTCAGCATCAAAGAGCGTGCAATGATCAAAATGTTGTTTGTTTTATTTTAGTTATCAGGATGCAAATTTAGTTTTTGAGGAGTTTGCTCGCCAGAATCTGAAAGATGCAGAAGCTGAGGAGGGGAAGAGAGATAAGAATGACGATGATGAGTGAAGTCGTCGGCTCGGGATGCTGGGAAATGGCCTGTCGTTAGCAGTGCAACGAGCAAAACCCCGCAGTTTAGTCCTTTGGAGTTATGCTAAGTACGAAAGGATGAGTCTTCTTCTGGGAAATAAAGCTTGTCTGTTCTCCCCTGGGTCATGAGTTGGTCGATTTGCTGGGGAGGCTGAGTTGATGACATGACACAGAAGTGGCCACCTTTAGGGTCCCTGGAGCTGGAGGGCTGGAGAGAAGGAGGCCAGCCTTCCACAGAAGGGCTCACTGCTGGCCCATCAGGGAGAGAAGGCAGCTCAAAGTCCATGTGCTCACCAGGTAGGGCCCTTGGTGTGTCCAGGGGCTTTCCCAGGGGTTCCAGTCTGAGCTGTTTCTCTGGGAACAATGTATATGTTTCTTTTCCTTTTTTTTCATTTTTGAGAAGGAGTTTCCCTCTTGTTGCCCAGGCTGGAGTGCAGTGCCGCGATCCTGGCTCACTGCAGCCTCCACCTTCTGGGTTCAAGTGATTCTCCTGTCTCAGCTTCCTGAATAGATGGGATCACAGGCACATGCCACCATGCCCGGCTAATTTTTTGTATTTTGAGTAGAGACAGTTTCCCCATGTTGGCCAGGCTGGTCTCGAACTCCTGACCTCAGATGATCTGCCCACCTCAGCCTCCCAAAGTTGGGAGGCTGGGATTACAGGCCTGAGCCACTGCCCACAGCCCAGTGTGTATGTTTTTAATTACCTGACCCATCCCAGCTTCCAGGCCCCTAAGGAGCCTCCTAAGTTAAAGAGGGCAGAGAACACGTGGACAAAAATACTCTTGGTTACTGATTCAACTTTTGGGTCCAGGTGCCCGTTTGAGCTTTGGATTGTTGGGTAAGTTCCATTCAATGCAAGAAACAAAATCAGATATGGTTAACTTAAGGTGGGGAGAAGGAATGTAGTGGGAGGACCCTGGTGTGGTCAGAGAACTGAAGGACGAAACTGAGCTGCCAATCAGAGAAGCTCCAGGGGTCAGGAACCCAGTCTCCAGAACAGCCATTCACGTGGCTCAGCACCACACACTCCCAGCTCTGCGTCTCTTGGCCCCAGTGGGCAGTTCTTGGGAAGGAGAATCCAACTGGCTCAGCTTTGGCTGGGAGGATCAACACCCTGTGGCCAGTGATGACAGAGCCCAGCCCTGGAGATAGAGTGCCCCAGAAAAAAAGGTTGATTGTGAGTCACATGGGCTTCCTTACAGTGTGCTTCCCTGAGATTGGGCATGAAAGGCAGAGGAGAGAGCACTCTGAGTGTCAGGGAGGAAGGTGAGCTACATGTGGAGGAGGGATAATAGAGGGGACACCAGGGGCCTTTCCTTTGTGGGGTCCCTACCCATCCTGAGGTACTCACTGGGCCTGTTACTGATGGCACAGGTAGTGAACAGGCTCATGGTGGCCTGGGAGTGGATTGGGGATATGTAGGCTCTGGTCCATGCTTTAAGGGAGCAGGGTGAAGGGGGGTTGGAGATTTCTCCACTGTTCAACCCACTCATAGAAGGCAGAGGGTGATGGGAAATACACATGGATCAGGTTTCAGGGACAGAACATGGTGGTGGAGGGCTGGCCAGGGCATGGGTTCCTAACTGTTCAGCAGGATTCCAGCTGTTTGAGTCCTGGAGATTGGGATTTAGATGAGGAGGCTCCACTTGGAAACCCTGGATGGGATCCCAGACCAAGCGAGATGTGGACCTGTGTGTTGACTCAGGCATCCAGGGGTTGGGAGAAGGATTTATAATACCCTAGACTACAGGTGGAAGATTGGTCCTTCAGCTCTGGGTTAGCAGGATCAGACACAGTCCCTCATTCTTTTTCTCTCCTGTGCTAAGGCAACGGTGCATAACTATTCCAACCCGTGCCCCTCTCAGGGTACCCAAGCAAGGGACGGCCAGGGTGGCACGCTCCTCTGGGGATTCCCAAAGCTCTTCCCCATTGCACTGAGCCCTTCCCCTGCCCTCTGCCACAGTGCACAGCCTGCTGTGTTCAGCCCTGCAAGAGCTCTTGGGCTAGCCAGATTGGGATTCTGCCCTGCGGTGCCTGGTGAGAGGACCAGCCCGTTGGTTCCTGCATTGCTTGACCCCAGGACATCCTAAGTCAGGGTGGACGTTAATAAGCCTGACCTTTGGAACTATGTGGGTGAGACAGCCGGAGGGAAGGGCTGGAAGACCAATCCCTGGAGACCAGAGGTCAGAACAGGCCTTGCCCTCCAAGTTATTTTGGTGCCAGAACGTCCCGATACGCCCTCCAGGTGCTGGCTTTTTTATGGCCTGCAGCTGGCCACCCTGGGGAGGGAGTTGGGGAAGGAAGTGAGCAGCCAGCTGCCCTGAGCGGGATGTGGAACCTTGGCTCAGCTCAGCCTACGCATTTGTTGGGCTGTCTACTGGCATGTAGTGTCCCTTGGTATCAGGAGGCAGGAAGTCTGTGTGCAGGTTGAATATGTGGCCCAGAGTTTTTGGGACAGGTGCAGTGCAAGAAATGGGGTAACAGCAGTTGAAAGTGCTGCACAGAGAAAGTTCTAAGGGCTGGAGAAGGGGGATCCCTGCCATTGATGGAGCGCCTGGCTTGTGCCAAGAACTTCACATCTGACACCTAACCATTCCAATAGTGCTTGTAAATCAGTAGCGTCATTCTCATTCATTAGACAAGGAAATTGGGGTTCAGAGAGGTTATGTACCTCATGCAAGGTCACACAGCTAGTGAGAGTTAAGGCTTGAATGCTGGTGTCCCTGAGTCTATAAGTAGAGCTTTGCCCACCTTATGGTGCTGAATGGAAGTAGGAGAGTTTGGTAGAGTGTGTGCTGGGGGTGGGGGGCAGGAGATTAGCATTTAGGATTCAATAATTCTCCTTGCTATTTTTTTTCCATTGAAATTTTCAGGCCAGGCGCAGTGGCTTACGCCTGTAATCCCAGTGCTTTGGGAGGCCGAGGTAGGCGGATGACGGGGTCAGGAGTTTGAGACCAGCCTGGCCAGCATGGTGAAACCCTGTCTCTACTAAAAATACAAAAAATTAGGTGGGCATGGTGGTAGGTGCCTGTAATCCCAGCTACTCGGGAGGCTGAGGCAGTAGAATCGCTTGAACTGGGAGGCAGAGGTTGCAGTGAGCTGAGATTGTGCCATTGCACTGTAGCCTGGGCAACAGAGGGAGACTCTGTGTCAAAAAAAGCAAAAGAAAAAAAAGAAAGAATTGTTCTTTTCTTTTCTAAAGTAGAGACAAGGTTTCACCATGTTGGTTAGGATGGTCTCAAACCCCTGACCTCGTGATCTGCCTGCCTCAGCCTCCCGAAGTAAATTTTCATTGAGATAATTGCAGATTCACATGCAGTTGTAAGGAGTAATACAGAGAGAACCTAGGAACCCTTTACCCAATTTCCTCCAGCGGCCACATTGCGTAAAGCTACAAGTACGATATCACACCGGGGTATCAACATGGGTGCAGTCTACCCATCTGACTCACATCTCCACAACTGGACTTGGACTAGTGTGTGGATTTAGTTCTCTACAATTTTGTCACACGTGTAGTTAATTTCTTTTTAGGGTGTCTGTTTTGCTCCTCCTGTAACATTTAAAACAGTTTAATTTCACAGGACTGAGTCCCAATTACTGATCTTCCAGGAGTAGGGCAGGTGGGAGGTGGGAGTTGGGGACGTTTGGAAATGTGTGCGGTGATTTTTGGTTTTCGCATGCTTGGGGACCAGAAGCTATGTGTCACAGGCAGTGGAGAAATGTCCTGCTCCAAATGTCAATCATGACCCTAGTTCAGGGTAAAAATCGGATGATTCCCACGTTTTCAAGTTTCCCGTTTATATTCTCCAGTGTGAAGCGGTTCTTTCTGACAAGAGTTGTGCCTCTTCACTGACACATCACGAAGAAGGATTAGGTTGGACGTGAAGTGTGTTATTACTGCCACCTTGATATGCCCTCAAGGTGGGGTAAGCTCAGGGAGTGACTGTCGTTAGAGATGATTCATAGCATGACTCATTCATTAAAGAGGCACCGGAGGGAATGTGCTCTTCCAGGCGGCGGCTTTGGGGGAGTTGATGTCTCAGCCCTTCCTGAGATCTCCAGGGGAACCGCACTGCGCGCTCACCTCGAGAACAAAGAAGCTGCTTCGTCATCAAAGAACGTTTAGGCCAGAGTTTTCTTTAAGAACATCATTCTTACCAAGCCTAATCTTTTTTTTTTTTTTTTTAATACACTTTTTATTTGGAATAGTTTTAGATTTACAGAAAAGTTGCAAAGATGTTATATTGAGGCACTCCACATCCAGAAAGAAGCCCCTATTATTAGCGTTTTGCATTACTAGGGCACATATGCCACACTGAACGACTCAAATTTTGTTTCCAGTAAAATAGACATATATTTCTATGATTTAGGTCCGGGGGCAGGTAGGTCCATGTGCGGCTTTGTTACATGGGTAAATTGCATGTAATGGGGGTCTGGTGTACACACACTTTTGTCACCGAAGAATCAGCATACTCATCCCCACTAGGATGCGCTTCCATCCTCACCCTCCTCCCACCGGGAATCAGTATTGACACACTATTATTAAACTAATGCCCCACAGTGAATTCCAATTTCCTCAGCTTTTACCTAATGTCCTTTTTCTGTTCTGGGATCCCATCTAGGATCCCACATGACGTTTAGTCATCATGTCTCCTTGGCTCCTCTTGGCTGTGACAATCTCAGTACTTTCTGGTAATTGCAGATTTCCTCCTCTCCAGCCACGGTTTCTGCTTCTTAAACGTCGCGTTCATGCCCTTGCCTTCTTGCCTCTACAATGATGAGTTCTGGAGCCCAGATGTCCCCTGAGCTCCTAACAGGTGCAGGCAATAGCATTTTAATGGTCCCCCTGTTTCTAGTTTTTTCTCCCCTCGGTCATTTTCTGCCCAGAAACATGAGTTCCTCTGCTTTCCAAAACCCCCTCGGCAGCTCCAGTGTCCATGAGATTGAAGTCCTTGCCCCAGAGCAGGACACAGAGGCTGCTCTTCATCCTGGCGTGGCTGCTCACCTCCTGGCCTCCTGCCACCACCTTGCCACTGGCTTCACCTAAATCCCTCATCACCCTCTCTGCTCACCTGGTAGGGGGTAGCCTCCCCCTTTTTGTGTTTTCCTGGGAAGCTCCCTTCATATAAGGCCTCTCCATTCCAATCCCAAACCCCGCTCAGGTCACCTGGCTCCCCCGAGGAACAAACTCTTTCTTCCCCTGTGCGTCCCCACCCCTCCTCCGTCTTGCAGACCCCCAGGGGTTTGCCTCTGTGTATCACTCTACGTGTAGTTAGCAGATACAAGAGTCCCAACTCTGTGGGGAGGCCCAAGCCCTTGGCGCCTGCATGAGGTCCCCAGGGCTGCCAGAGCACAGCACCACAGGCTGGGCTGCTTCCATTACAGGAATTGACACTCTCAGTTCTGGTGGCTGGAAGTCCAAGATCACAGTGTTGGCAGCTGGGGTTCCATCGAGGCCTCTCTCCTTGGCTTGTAGCTGCCATCTTCTCCCTGTGTCTTCACAGGCGCTGCCCTCAGTGCGTGTCTGTGTCCTCATCCTCTCTTCTTATGAGGACGCCAGTCATACTGGATTAGGGACCAGCCCCGAGACCTCATTTTAATTTCATTACCTTTTTGAAAATCTTAGCTCCAAATACAGTCACGTGATGAGGTCCTGGGGGTTAGGACTTCAACACACGAATTACGGGAGGACACAGTTCAGCATGTGACAGTGCTTTTTTTTTTGAGATTGAGTTTCGCTCCTGTTGCCCAGGCTGGAGTGCAGTGGCATGATCTTGGCTCACTGCAACCTCTGCCTCTCCGGTTCAAGCGATTCTCCTGGCTCAGCCTCCCAAGTAGCTGAGATTGCAGGCATGAGCCACTGCACCCTGCTAATTCTTGTATTTTTAGTAGAGATGGGGTTTCTACATGTTCGTCAGGCTGGTCTCGAACTCCTGACCTCAAGTGATCCACTCGTCTCGGCCTCCCAGAGTGCTGGGATTATAGGCACGAGCCACCACGCCTGGCCGTGACAGTGCCTTTCTCTTCTCTTCCCTACGATGAGCTTCTTCAGGGCTCAGCTTCCTGGGTGCGCTAACCCTGCAGCACCAAGGGCTTGGGGAATCACATGGTCTGGGTTCAAATCTTGCCTCTGGCATGCTTTGGGGAAGGTCTCTGGACCTCAGGCTTCAGGGAGCCTTCCTCTCCAGAATAAGACCATCACTCCTGCTCTGTGGGGCTTGCGTGAGGACTGGAATTGCTGGCCAAGTATCTGGCGTGTCCTGGGTGCCCGGGACTGGAGCTGTCACTATCCTTGTGTGCTGCAGAACTTTCTGTGGGGACGGAAGAAGTGTTCTATATTTGTGCTATCCAGCGTGGCAGCTGCTAAGCCACATACAGCTACTGAGCCTTTGAAATGTGGCCTGTGCAACTGAGGAACTGAATGCTTAATTTTAACTAATTGAAGTTTAAGTAGTCACGTGTGGCTGGTGGCTATAGCACTCGGTGTACCCTGGGGCCTTTGGCCTGTCCCAGTCTGTTCCTGTTTTAGGCCTTGTCCTCTTCTGTCCGGCGGTGAGGCCATTTCCCTGGCCAAGTCCCCATGCCAGATGTTACTCTGCAGCCCCTGTTCACTGCCCAGGGTAGTGGGGCGAGCGCATGCTGACTGGCAGGCAGGGTCTCTAGCAGCAGCCCTTTGATGGGATGAGGGCACACCTGGGCAGCTCTTACTGATTTGCCCCTCAGAGCAGGGGAGACAGGTGGACAGCATTTCCTCTGGATGGCACCAAGCCCTGCTCCACCTGGATGGCACCGAAAACTCAGTGGATCTTATTTCCAGCGCCACTTCCTCCTCTTCTGCCCTGAGCATGTCTGGACCCCACCCACACCCTATCCAGCAGCCCCCCTGGGAAACATGGGGCTCGTTCTGGTCACCTCTCTCTTCAGTCGCTGGTCACTCCCCACCTGGATCTTAATGCACGCCTCTGTCAGCCTCACGGTAATCCAGGGCTTCCACCTGCCCTGATTACTTCAAAACCCAGCCCCGCCCAGGGTTAAATCCCTCAAGGGCCTCAGGCTGCCCTCAACCCCTTATCTGCTTTCCAAAGCCCGCTTTGACCTGCCCGCCCCACGGCTCACATCTGAATGTCGTTTTTCTTGGTCTAAGCACCAGCTTCCCTTTCTCCCTCCCCCCGCCCGCCACACTTGTTCTTTCTTGCCTCCAGGCCTTTGCATAAATCTGATCTCTTCCTAGTCACAACTCCAGCTCACATTTTCCATCTCTTCTTAAGAACCGTTTTCTCCAGGAAGCCTTCCCAGATAAAGCGCTGCATCCCCGTACTGGCGCCCCGAGGCCCGTTCGAGTATCGGGGTCTCTTTTCCCCACGCATCTGCATTCGAGCTCCCCCCAAACTCGGCCACGCAAGGCTGGGCAGGACAGATGCGGCCCTGGGCTCCCAAGGGTTACCTACATTCTAATGGGGGAAAAATAGAGATGTTTTAAGAAATGAACACAAAAACGGAAGAACATAAACCGCGTCCCAGGTAGAACACACAGAAGCCACGGCCCGGAGAGGTGGGTGGGGATGGCCCCGCGACGCCTCAGGTGGGGGTGGGGAGGGGTGGGGCGGTTCCGTCTGCAGCTGCGCGCACGGCCGGCAGGGGGCGCGGCGGGGAGAGGCGGGAGGCCGCCCCCACCGCCCCCGGCCCGGCCCGCCCTCGGCCCCGCCCCTCCCGCCGGCCCCGCCCCGCCCCCGCCCGCGGTGCGCGCGCTGGCCCGGCAGCATGGCGGCGGCGGCGGGCGCCCCTCCGCCGGGTCCGCCGCAACCGCCTCCGCCGCCGCCGCCCGAGGAGTCGTCGGACAGCGAGCCCGAGGCGGAGCCCGGCTCCCCGCAGAAGCTCATCCGCAAGGTGTCCACGTCGGGCCAGATCCGACAGAAGGTGAGCCCGCGACGCGGCGGCCCGGGCGCGCGCCCCTCACGCCGCGGCAGCCCCGGCGGAGGCCCGTGGTTCTGCCCGAGCGGCCGCCCAGGCCCGGCCCGGCCCAGGGTCCCGTGGGCGTCACTGCCCCGGTCGAGCGCGCCCCGCCGCGGTAACTGGCCGGCGTCCCGGGCCGAGAGCGTGGCCCCCGACGGACGGCGGGTGGCGGCAGGGCCGGGCTGGGGGCGCGCAGGTGGGCGCCCCAGGGGGCCGCGCGCTGGGCGGGGGGCGCGCGCCGAAGTGGGCCGCGAGGACCAGGAGGAAACTGAGGCCTAGATGCAGGGGGCTGCGTTCGTGCCACCGAGCGGGTCCCACGCGGGGACTCCCGGCTGCGCCCCGCGGGCTTGCGCGGTCCCCAAACCCCGGCTCTGCACGCTTCTCAGGAGCGGTCGGATGGTGTTCTGCGAGTGCCCTGCAGACTTCCCTGTGGTGCCCTCAGAAGTCCGCTCGGACCCTGGTGCGAGGGAATCACCCCTTCACCCCTTCATCCCAAAAGGGAAGGAAGGGATGCCCGTTTCCTGACCGTCTCTCTCTGGAAAGCTGGGACCGCGCACCCGCTTGGCACCCAACTCTCCACGGAGAACTCTGGACGCTAAATATTAGATAAAGACGCACGTCCTTTTTGCAGGAGGAAAGTTGCACCGTTTGTTTTACCATTGTGCTTCCTATTGAAAACTGCTTACGGTTTTTTGCTCCAGGTGAGGTCTCCCCGTTAGAACCCTGTGTCCTGTCCTCAAGCAGGTGGCAGGACAGGTGGCCAAGAGCAGGCTGGTTCCGTGGGGCAGCGCTGGCAGATCCGGTTGGCACGGACTTTCTCCTGCTGCTGCAGTGCGCTTTTCCTCCAGGGCGGGTTAGGTTCAGCCGGTCCCTTCACCGTGGGAGCTTTCTCTTCTGTCAGCCTTTGATACCTGCGATGGGGGAACCTGAGGTCCTAACATGTTACAAACAGGTTTGTTGTGAAGTGCTCCATTTATTCATAAAGTAGGTACTGAACACCTGCTTTGTTCCGGGTATAACCGTAGCAGTAGTAATAATACTGATAGCAATGGCAAATAACAATTCTTCAATGCCTTCTACGTGCCAGGCTCTTTCTTGGGTTAGTGTTACAGCGCTTCACGTGGTTAGCTTATTAGTACTGGTGAGAACCCAGTGAGTTAGATGCTGCCATCGCCGTCTTTTGAAATTGGAATAGAAATAGAGTCAAGGTGACATGACTTGCCCAGGGTGTCACAGGTCATAAATGTGGATCTGGATTGGAACCATGGTCAGGATCTTAAGATAGAACGCAGTTTCTACACCTAGGGGTTCTCGCAGTTTCTACACCTAGGGGTTCTCAGTTTAGTGGGGAGATGGATACCTGTGCACCTGACATGACAACATTATAAGTAGTGTGGAAACTTGGGGCAAAGACCTGCCCTGGGGAGGCAGGAGGGGTTTCCTTTAAGGTGAGGTCTTGGGGGATACAGAGTTCGCCAGGCTAAGTGGGTGAGAAATGGCTTTCCACATATTTGAACATTGTGCCAGGGAAATGATCAGAAGTTGGGCCAGAAGGTGGAGCACGTTGAGTAGACTTAGAGGTTGGAAGGGTAGGTGGGGGCTGAATTTCGAAGAGCTGGTTCTTTGAAGGGTTGACATTTTGGCTTTGGGCAAGAGGTGGCCACAAAGTATTGTTCAATGCCTGGGGGTGGTGGATCAGTTGTGCTTTTGGGAAGGTCTCCGAATAACCCTGAATGGTACTGATAGGAGTTGCTTTCTCCTGTTGCCCAGGCAAGGTACTGCCCGGTGTGGGGTAGATCATGTGATTTACAAGGTTGATTAAGATCAAGATTGTGTGGAGAGAGATTTGATTCCTGGGAGATTCCAGTGCTAGTTCAGAATTTTGTTCGTTAGGAGGTGTTTTTGCTTTCCTTCTTTTTTCTCCTAAAACAATAGCTGCTATACCAGCTGTTCTGGTTGAGGAGGAGTGATGGGTAGACTGTTAAAAATACACCCTGAGGACTTAGAGTTTCTGAATACAGTCACATCTGCTGTACAGATAGCTTAAGGCTGATTTTTCTTCTGAGTTGTTAAGAGATTGTCAGAATGTGGGAATTCGAGGTTGACTGTGCAATAGCTCCATTTTTTTTCCCCAGCAGATAAGCCATTCACAAAATTTTCTGGTATCTATGGTACATAATAGAAATATCCAGAATGGTATGGAGTAGCAGTCTGAGTCTAAAAAAAAAAACAGAACTTTAAGTATTTAGAACAGAAGGAATGTAACATAGGGGAGTGGTCACACAGGTGGTGGAAGAACTGAAAATGCAGCTGCAGTGAGGCAAGCCGGAGATGAGGCAGCAAGCAGGAAACCACTGCCACCCCTAAGCTGGAGGGTGAAGGAAGGAGGTGGCATTTCAGTTTCCAGGGACAGCTGTCACCCACCAAAAACTGGGGTCACAGGGGGGTCCATCTGGCAGTGGCTGAAGCCTTGCAAGGGCGCAGCTGCTGCTGCAGATGTACTGTTCCCCTCTTGCCTGGGAACCCTGGCCTTGCCAGGGTCACCCCCTCCACAACTTGGACTGAAGCAGAAGGACAAAGAATGGATCTGAGGACCAGCTGGCCCAGGACCAGAACTGTGTGTATGTATGTCAGACTTAAAAAATATTAGTCTAGTGCAAGCCAGAGCTGTCTTAAGAAAAAAAAAAATTTCCTTAGGACAGTGCTCCTCAAATTCCCTTTAAGGTGCAAGACACATCCCCTAGGGATCTTGTTAAAATGATGACTGTGGTTGAGTAGGTCTAGCGTGGGGCCTTAGAATGTGCATTTCTTTCTTTTTTTTTGAGACAGGGTCTCACTTTGTCACCCAGGCTGGAATGCAGTGGTGCAATGTCAGCTACTGCAACCTTTGCCTCCTGGGTTCAAGTGATTTTCCTGCCTCAGCCTCCTGAATAGCTGGGACTAGAGGCCCATGCCACTATGCCTGGCTAATTTTTGTAGAGATGGAGTTTCACCATGTTGCCTAGGCTGGTCTCAAACTCCTGGGCTCAAGCAGTAAACCCACCTCAGCCTCCCAGGCTTGAGCCACTGCGCCCTGCAGAATGTGCATTTCTAACAAGCTCCCAGAAGATGCTGATGCTGCTGGTCCATGGGCCACACTTAGAACAGGGCACACATGTAAGAGAAGCCTCTCCGAACTCCAGATCTTTCTTCAGGTTATAAGTCTTTAGCATACTGAAAATTTGATGTGTGCAGATTTGTGATGGCCATTTATCAGTTTAGCATTTCCTGCATGTCTGATTTTTTAATATGTTCAAACTCTTTAGAGTTGAAACTGTCCCCAGCAGAGACATTACTTCATTTGTATTTCCTGGCCATAGTACACTGTAATGACTCTGTAGAACTGCATAGCTAGAATGGAAAAGAAGAAAATGGAGCTAACGCACCAACCAGTACCTTCACTAGCACATTATAAGGTATTTTGAAATTTCAGTAAAGAACTGTGTAATTCTGTGAAGCTATCAGTTAAAAGAGTTTAATTTGTTTAAACGTTTCTAAGAAGTTAACATTATTTTGGATATGAGCATGAAAGTGCTTGGATTCCTGATTTTAAATTTAAACAAAGCATTTTTTTTCCATTGTGAAATGAAGACTAGTACCTTAAAATTAGGTTTAAGTCATAAAAAACTTAAATAAAATACACCCCAGTTTTATTCGATATAATTCACATAGCAGACAAGTCACTCATTTAAAGCATATAGTTCAGTGGCTTTTAGTGTATTCACAGTTGTGTAACCATCACCACAATCATTTTCAGAACATTTTCATCACTTCATTTCCTCTCACTGCCCACCCCACCCCCAACTGTAGGCAACTGGAATCTACTTTCTGTCTCTGTGTTTGCTGATTCTGGTCATTTTACGTAAATAGAAGCATATAATATGTGGTCTGGCTTCTTTCACTTAGCATAATATTTTCAAGGTTCATCCATGCCCTAGCATGTAGCAGTACTTCATTTTTATTACTGGGTAATATTCCATTCTACAGATATACTGTATTTTATTTATCCATTTGTCAGCTGATGGGCACTGGGTTATTCTACTTTTTGGCTATTCTGGATAATGCTGCCGAGAACATTCATGTACATGTTTTTGTGTGGACATAGTTTTCATTTATCGTGGCTGTATACCGAGGAGTGGAATTGCTGGGCCATATGGTGACACTACTGTACCATTTTACATTCCCACCAGCTGTGTATGAGGAGGGTTCCAGTTTTTCCCCATCCTTGCCAGTACCTGTTATTATCTGTCTTTGGATAGTAACCATCCTAGTAGGTATGAAGTAATGTAAAAGGGTTTAGTTGGATTTCAGAGTCTAAACTTGGGGTCAGATGAAGTCACTTCAGACCCTGCTCTTCTAGTTATGAAGTGTGTGATTGTGGACAGGGTGTCTAAACCTCCCTTAAGATTTGGTTTCCTCATCTGTAAACATGGAAAATACTAGTTCTTGGATTGGTTGTAGTGACAGTAAATGTTAGTTGTGTGTTCCCAAGGCTCAGTTTCCGTGTCTGTAAAATAGAAATAACGGTTGCTATATCCATAAAGTAGGAATGGTGATGTTAACTCATGAAATGAAATGGGATCATCTGTGTGGGACACTTAACATAGTGGCTGATGTATAAAGTGGTCACTAAATGGTTACTTTTGATTATTTTTTGTCTTTTTGATTATTCTTTTTGTATTCCAGATAGGAATCATTTCCCTGACTCCATTTTTCTCCAGTTCAAGCTGGTCTGAGGGAGTCTGCATCTCTGGCCTCCAGAAGAGCAAATAAAAACAAACCTGGCTGAAAATTAACAAATACCATTTTTAAAGAAATTGTTAATTTACTGATTGCTAGCGGGAATACCATGGGCTAGGTATTGTATTTTTTATTTCACTGGTCCAGTTTAACAGCAAATATTCGAGATCTTAACATTGCTGATTGTTGTGTGAGGCACGGCAGGGGGGATGTCTTAATGAGCAACAACCACAAAAAGGATTCCTGGAGATGATTGACTGGAAGACCTTAATAAAACAATCACGTGGTTGATGTAAAGTTGTGATGGGGACCGGTGCTGCTCAGGAGAAGGCCAGAGTGCTTTGAGAGGACGTCACAGGTGAATTTGACCTGGCAGGGAGGTCTGGGAAGGGCTTTTTGAGGGAGTGGCTGGCTGAGGTCTGAAAGGTGAGCAGGGAACAGTGACTTCTGCCTCTGGTGGTGGTGGGCTGAGTACCAGAGGAGCCGTTCTGCCAAGCACAATCTGCTGATGAGATGATGCTGAACTTCTGGACGGGGCTCTGGGGAGGCTGAAGATCTGTGGAGTAAGCGTGGTGTTTGGGGCTGCTTTTGACTTTGGAATCTGTAGTGGGTTTGGCATTTCCACCAAATTTGGTCCGCCTAGAACTTCAGGATGCAGATATAATTAGATATTAGTTAAATGCCTTTTAAAAATGTTTTCTTTCTTTCTTTTTTTTTTTGAGACAGGGTCTCGCTTGGTCATCCATGCTAGAGTGCAGTGCCATACCGCAGTCTCCGGCTGGGCTCAGGCACTCCTGCCTCAGTCACCTCAGGCACTCCTGCCTCAGTCATCTGAGTGGCTGGGACTCCAGATGTGTTCTACCACTCCTGGCTAATTAAAAACATTTCTTTTGTGGAGACGGAGGTCTCACTACATTGCCCATGCTTAGGGTCTCAAACTCTTGGGCTCAAGCGGGGCTCAAGTGATCTTCTCACTTTGGCTTCCCAAAGTGCTAGAATTACAGACATGAGCCACTGTGCCTGACTAAAACTTTTCCTTTTGAGATGGGGTCTCACTGTATTCCGCATGCTGGCCTCGAGCTTTTGGGCTCAAGCGATCCTCCTGCTAATTAAAGATTTTGAGAGTAAATCATGGTGAATTTAGGAGAAACTGTAACTCAAATGTCGGTGTCT